CCTCGCAAGCCCGTTGTACTCGGCTAACGCGGCGAGCTTGATTATCGCATCGGCGTTGGCGTCGATGACGAGAGAGCGGGCACGGCGGATATTTCCCAGCTTGACCATGACAGCACCCGACCAGAGTAGGCCCAGCTGAGGATCCGCTATAGGGTTGTCGGGCGGAGAAGGGTTCAGCCCTTCCGGGCTGTACCGCTGGTCTATGACAAGATCCAGTGTGTAGTTCTTGCTTCTTGGAAGCATTTCCTCAAGTAGGCAAGGGTTACAATTGGACGGCCTTCGCCAGAGGGTGGCGTCGCCCAGCGCGACGTACCGCCAGAAGCGGCAGACGTGTGTGGCCGCGAGGAGACTGTCGCTGTAACCATCGGCGACAAGGGAGCGGAAGATGTCACAAAGACACTCTGCCGGGATTTGGTCGGATAGACGGCGCATATTGTCAACGGCAGGCGCGTTTACCTCGGTCATGATGGCACCCGAGAGTAATTAATGGTTAATGACCAACAAAAGATATGTCAATTGAAGCCAGGCCGCGAGGCCTTCGGTCTCTGGATAAGAAAAGGAGTTCTAAATAACGTGTTAGTAGATGGGGATGGAGAATATCCCTGCGTAAATGGCAGGGTATGGTGTGGTTGCGAATCGTTAGAACCGCTGAATTATATTCCCTTCATGAGCGATTGCCACGTCAGAGAAAGCGATGAGAGCAATCACCTATGGCAAGAGTGCGTAAATGGACTCTTCAATAATCGCTGGTTAATTTACTCTTGGATGTGGCTTTGGTGTCGCAGCTGGGCGTGTGGCTGCGAACAACAAGGTTATATTTGGGTGCGCGTCCATTTATAAGTCCAATGTTTGCTCCTGTTTGACGTCCTGGCAACCGCGCCTTCCCGAATTAGTACAGACTATGTATTCACTGTAATCGCGAACATTTAAGTTACCAGTTGTATGATAGTACTTCAACTTACAGCATTGACAGCACCAACGTGTTTGGAGGCATCGTTTGTAAATCAGTTTATATAGAATGCACATAAGGTTGTCGTAGACATTATCTGGCGGACATACACGAAGAGTATTGATATTTAGGAAAATGAGGTCTTCGCCATACCGTAGTGCCTAGTTTTTTATGACTACTACTACAATTTCCCAGTGTAAGCCTCGGGGCATCGGGAGCTCTCCATGGGCAAATCAGATAAGTGTAACTGCCCCACGAGATGTTGGAATGTCGCGCGTAGCTCATCACTCGGGATCGTCCCGGATGGCGCAACAGCTCCTCGATTGCGTCCCTCTTGTTCATAGCGCTCCCTCGGGTAAGTTTCCAGGTCACCTAGAACACGGTCGCGAAGCACTATATGCCCCATCCCGGAGAGTTCGCTTCCGTACATAACTTAATGCCCTTGAGACATGGGAACAAAGAGGGGCGAGTGAGGTCTATTGAACGCTCTTCGGTCACAAAATGCGGGATGAGGTACTGGGCGACCTTATCGGTCACCTCCAGCCACTGGATTGCTGTCATAGTCTTGAATTTTCTGGGAAGTTCACCCCTCTCCCAGAAATCAAGGTTGCACTATGACCCACCATGTGCTCGTGGAGGCATAGTGTCGTAACATCCCCTAGAGGCAGGTAATGAACCCAATTCTGCGGATAATCAGCACCGTCCAAATCCATACGAAACCAGGTGGGGCCATACAATGCAGGGGCGAAACCAAGGGCAGGGACGAGAGGCGAAAATACGCAAATTATGTCATCGCCGGCATGGACTTCCGCGAGCCTTGGCACCACCCTTCCGTCCCCAGTGAGGAACCGACGGAAAGCGGACGGCACCTCCGTGGAATCTATTTCCCGCCAGGGAGATCGCATAATTAGGGTGACTGGATGGTCGATAAGCAGGTGGGACATGAAATGCATCCAAGCAGAGGTATTAAAACTGCACATGTGAAACTCCTCTAGGTGATGCTGCTTCACAGAACTTTTCTCTCAAGGGTCGAACTTGAAGCTACTGAGGTCCAGCTTCCGAAGCAGAGGAGTGCCTTAATGAACGTTTACCAGCATCAGACAATCAATGCAAGACAGATGGAGGGAGGTCAGGTTTTGGAAGAAACCAGGGAGCTCGTCCAGAGTGCATTGACCAAGATACAGATAAAGCTTGGGGAAGTAGCCCTGTAGCGTATTTATGTTGGAGGATGTCATGAGCTTCATGCAATGGACATCCAGGCACTTTAGAAGTGGTGCATTTCTCCGAAGCTCATTCATGGCATACAAGTGAAATTCAGGGGAGTTAGTTGCCAATGTCATAGAGGTGGCTCGTCCGACATCAGTCAGCTTGCTCTTCATAGCTTCTTCATAAAGTTTGTAGGACTTCTTTTGGTCACCATTCTTGAAAACTGTATCAAAAACAGGTCCAAGTTTTTGCTGCGCTGTATGATGGTTTCAACTAGGTCAGTGTGAGAGCTCGCAGGCTTGGGCCATAAGCTCGGGTAGCCCAGTGCAACCTCCCGCCAATAGCGGCAGACATGGGTGACTGGGAGCAGACTATCACTGTAGTGGTCGCCGAGGAAACATTGAAACACGTTGCCGAACGTCTCTGGTGGGAGACGATGTGCTGGACAATCTGAATTTTGGGGGAAAGCAAGCGAAAGCTGACTGTTGGGCATGGCAGTATTTGCTCTGAGCAGGTTCTCCAGTACCACCTCAGAGGTGTTCTGGAACGGAATTGCTAACTTTGATGTTCGCATCTAGATCGAGAGTAACTCAGTAAAATTGAATACAATGGAAGTCAATAATGCCGACAGATATACTAACGGTGTTGGCTTTCGGGAGTCGGGATCAAGCTTGCGAGCTCGCGCCTTGTTGCGCGTGGTCAAGGGGGACCGCCGCAGGCGGGCCCAACTGATAAGGTGATAAGAAAATTCATATATATTCGCTGTATCTACTCGATGTACTGTAGGCGATTGCCCTTCGGGCAACTGACCGCCTGGGGCAAACGCGCTCATCTTCCGTTTGCTTGGAATATTTCAACAAACGGTTCAGTCGCTAAGGATGCCTTGCTTCGCAAACGGGGGATATTCAGAACAGAGAGAACTAGCTCTGTGTACCATTCGCCGCAATCCTGTATAACTTGGGGGGGAGTGGGCCAATGCTGTGCATGGCTGGTTACGAGTCCTGAGCTGGGCATAAGATATTCCCTATTTTACATTGTATATCATAGAGCTGGATCAATATTCCTATCTTTCTTGAAGTATTATTTGAATTTCACTAGACCTCTCAAGATCATCTTGTATATTCCTTGATTTGCTATAGAGCTCTGAATATATTATGGATTTCCCACATTTTTCACAAATTTTTCGGCCCTTCTACAGCCTGCAATCAATTCCAGATACAAATGATGTAATGGCTCTGCAGACCGGGTGAACCTGCAGAGAGCCTATGTCATAGAAGGCAGGAGCCAATCAGAGTCCAGGAACTTGGGAAGTATTCGGCGCTGCGCGGCATGCCAGGTCCGATTCCTCGTAAGGTAAATGAGTGGCAAGGGTTCTACAAGTAGGTAAATAGTCTTTCTAGCCTCCCGGGCGCTGCGCGGCATCAAGAATACTCCTAGTTATTATATGTTGATCTCAGTGATACTAAATCATATAAGTTCGTAACTCTCAAACATAACTCTGTGTGGCTAGAACCTTCAATCATCCTATACTCTGTGTCAAGTACAGTTATTTCAATACACAATACACTATTTACTTCAGTACTACACTTGGGTAGCATTACTATCGAGTCAGTGCACATGCATACTGTAGCTGAGATGCACGTCGTCAGGCTGAGGCCTCAATGCTGCCAGTACTATGCCTCGTATGTAACTTACCAATCTTGTGCCGTAGGCAGCAGGGTACTTGCCATCGGCGCAATTCCACACACAGCCGGGGGATGCCTGACAGTGCCATTGGCCCGAGATCTTGAAAGGATCATGCCGTGCAGAGACCACACTACATATCTGGAATTAGTCCCTATTCACAAACGGTAATTATTGACATGAGAGGTAATAGCTCCTATTTGCTGATGGTGGTAAGATTTGGATCGGTGGACCTTCCATTTAAGGAGGGTGCTCCCGTTACAGTGGAGGTAATTTGGGCTATAAGGGGTATACCCCCTGTTCAACGCTGGCAATTTTCGATCACCAGAGAGCCCTATACAACGACTGAACAGTAAACCGATTCTAGGGGAATCGGAATCCAAACCGACGCGGCCCGCACACTCAGCCACTGACTACAAGCCACTACAATAGTCAATTCCCACGATAAGCAATAAAAGTAAAACCGCCATGCGGACTAGGACAAGACACACAATCGATAAATTCACGAAAATACTGTTGTAGACACGTATAGCATACGCCCCAGACTAAAAAAAATAAAAGATAGATAAGACGAAGAATTGAGCCCGCAAATGAGCAAACAATGGTCCCAGAGACTACAAAAATGCGCCAAAAGTGGTTTTGTAGTCTCACATACAACCGGACGTCCAATCGGAGCTTCAAATATGTAGTCTGCAATACAAAACATAACTCCCACGACCTCTCGGCACAAAAGGTTCTCACGGGGTACAACGTTCGGCACGCAGGCATACTATCATTGCGGGGGATCCGTAAAAATCTGACAGATCTCCTCACAGCGCCCTCAGAATTGAAGCTAACGACTCCATTTCTTTCAGGCATCTTAGCTTAGTTACTCAGTTACCTACTCCAGCAAATACTGTGGCAAAATATGTGCAACTGAGGCAATGACAGAGATGCCGGCGTCGACCACCCAAATCCCAGTAGAAGTGTAAAAGCAGTCACGCGTATGTCACACGGCAATTTCGATCTCCGCTCGGCATGACGAGAGACAACGAGAGACGACAAGCCAACCTGACCGTGCTCAGGCACCCGAGTGACACCAAAAGCGAGAGCCCTTAGACTTGGGACTACGCCCTAAGACGCGAGACCAAGGGGTCTCGAAAACCTTATTTTGCCACCCCACCTGAACGCCCCCCCTGGGCACCCCACCGCCCCCCCTCTGGGCACCCCACCTGTACCCCCTTGACTTAGACGTCTCAGCACTCATGTATTAAATTAGATATTCCTGTCCCTACGTACTATATTATAGCGGGCGACGTCGAGCAACCTGACGTGGAACGCCCTCATTCTGCCTCTGTTGCGGCTTGACCGTACTCCGTGGGTGGCTCCCGCACCCAACCATCATCGCCGCCGAAGGCCGTCTCGGACCACTCCGGGACCATCCGCTCCTTGTTCGACTTGAAAGTGCATGTATGCCTCGCTCGAGAAAGGCCATCGTCGCAGTCTCTAGCTCTTCCTTGCGCGACGGAGGACTTCCTGGTGCCCGCGCAAAGACAAAGTCTCTGACTCGATTGGCAAAAGAGGCCGAGACACTGCGGCAAAAGCGGCGGGACATAGTCAGAGGTGCGCGGTTGAGATGCATGTATTTTCTATTGTTCACGCTGAGCTTCCTTCTTTCCGAGGCTTACCTTCCGAGACCAGACGAGCGTTTAATAATGCAACGAGAGAGGCTGGCGCCGTCCCAGACGACGGCGAAGCCCCTGCGTACGAGAATTATGAACTGGCTGCGGAGATGGAGTGGGAGGATGATGCTGTGGTCCCGGACATCTCCCATGATGGTGGCGAGCGGGCAGATTCATTGCATGCGGCCTTTGAGCAATACATTATACCGAGGTGAATACTACTGATTATTATGTTGTCTTCAATTTATCCCATGCTAACCATTTTCAGACGCATTTGTGGGGCGCGACGACGATGGGCGCGCTCTCGACATGCACGCCTGAAGGCTATGTATCAGGAATGGGACCGGCAGATGCCTGCGTTGGTCCAGGTATATCTGCTATGGAAGCATCCTCGCGCTGCGCCTCCGATGGAGGATTTGGAAGAGAATGGGGAAGCTCGGCATGAGTTTGAGGTCCTAGCAATCAATACATATGGTGTGTGGCCTTTGATTATAGTGAATCCCGATTACCGTGCTATTTTTCAGATCATCAATGGCGACGCCCGATACCTCAATGGCCGGATGAGCTGCCTAACGCGGCTCTGATACGGTGCGGCTTCCTGGGCTGTTCCCCGACAGATCCCAGCATCGCAATATCCCTGAATACTCTTGAGCTGTACCATCGTCTCAAGCGCCGCCACCCTTCTCTAAGCATAGAGGCAATGACCAAGACGCTGTGCGATCTACATGACGTGAGTGTTTCAATGGATGAGATGGATATTATTCGCTAAGGCTGGCGTCATCGGACCCGCAGGTCAACTATCAATCATGGTATCGTGATCAATTCTCTATAGCTTTCGATGCTTATCTCGATATCACACGACGGGTTGATGCCTGTGTCAATGCGGCGTTGGGAAGGGATATGCCTGACTGGCGCATGTTGAACATGTGTCCAGCATGCAATTATAAGGTTTGTATCTGCACTGAGCTGTCAATGCCCCTCCAACTAACAATTTCCCTACAGCTAGAGGGTGAGCCAAGGCTTCCCGCGTCCCGTATATTAGCCATGGACGGCAACAATTCTTTGAAGCGCGTTGCGGGGGCCGGTGTCGCCGATGATCGGGTGTTTAGCAGCGACTATTTCCTGTCGCGTGAAGAGGTGGATCAGTTCAAGGACGAGGTCAAGCGGAACGGTCGACTTCGCGAACAGCGCGAACGGTCAACGGCTTCTCCCGAGGTACGGTTACATTTTTGTTTCATTACTTTACATAGTATGCATTACTGTATGTGTGCACCAGAGGTCTGATAGTGGAGGCAATGATGATACCGAAGATGATAGTGCCTGGGTCACTGAAGACGCTCCTGGTGACCCGACTGATGGTGCTGGACGTCCTACCCAGTGCACTGAGCGGTGGAAAGCGAGTGCAGCTGAGCACGAAAAGACCGCGTTGGATGTATATGATGTTACTGGTATCTTTGTGGCAGCATGTCGCCATGGATTCATTGCGAAAGCATGCCAGATGGTGCAAAGTGGGGAATTGTAAGTTAATGACGCGACTTAGAGTAGGACACTAGCTGACCGAATAGGGCAAAATATCCGCTCGCGATGGAGAATAAGTTACTCAACACCTACGGCGAGGACCAAATACATGGATATGATATTGGATGCGACTTCAGCAAGACTGTGGCCCACAGTAGTCTAGGGCCCAGGGCAAAGGCGTTGAATCTCCGACTTATCGTCAATGCGTTTCACGGCTATGCACACAACCGTCTCTGTCAAATACAAAATCATCCACTATATACGCTTGGTGCTGGCATTGAGGACCTCGAAACTCTTGAGCGAATCTTCTCCAAGTCAAATCCAGTCGCGCGCACTATACGTCATGCAACAAACTATCATTGGCTCCAAGCGGTCGACCTACATTTCAAGCAATGGGACGAAGATCGTTATTTTGAATTAAGTATGCATCCTCGTGGTTAGTCGATGCTGTGCTCATGGATCATAGGCCGCTTTCTCTTCAATAACTACAAGCAGGCCCTCAAGATAATCCGTGAATATACTCCGGAAGTTGAGCTAATGAAACAGGAATTGAACTTAGCTGATAATGATATTGCTGGATGGTTGGACGCCGAGCGCAAGTTCCTGCAGGATCTGAAGGATGAGCCGGAAGAACAGACTCTTAAATGTGCATATGTACAAGCCCTGATACAACGTCGCCAGGCTGAGTAAGCATAGTTTTCGAAATAATATCAGAGTATTGGTTTCTGAATTGATGTCGAAGTCAAAAGTGGAAAGCTGTGTCCGAACAGTTCCTTGCTACCCCGTCACATATTGAACCGCATTATGCGACTGAAGCGAGGGAGACATTGCGCATTGAATCCGCACGTCGCGCAGCACAGGATCAGCTTATGGTGGCGATTGCAACCGTCGGCCAACTCGAGGCAAAGCTCGCGATACGCGAAACCTGGAGTGATACTCATCCGGAGTATAAGAAGACGCTACACTACCTGAGAACGCGCGACTTTCATCGAGCGTTGGATAAGCTACAACAGCTGGTAGTGCAACGTCTTTTCGAGATGCAGAAGGCCAATATGGCGGGCATGGGTATGGCGAGTTCATGGGGGCCAACCGTAACATGTTCTGACCATGGAATATTGACAGGATACAAAATGCGGACGAGTATATGGAAGGGCTTGAAGGCGCGGGGGAAGGCTATACGGACTGCCCTCAAGAAATACAATGCATTGGCACCCCTTATGACGCCGCCCGCACCACCATTGCAGTGGAAAGACATAGTTGGCTATGGATTCATATCTGAATTCGAGCTCCTTAAGCATGCACATTCACACTGCGACATAACCTCACTTCCGTGGACTATTCCTGGGAACCGTGAAGTTGCAGCAAAATATTTCAAGATAATACGGGCCTACGAGGAGCTTGAGAGGCTCAACGTCGAGTTACGACGGCTTCGAACTGCCCTCGAAGACGAACAGATCTGCTTCGAATTGGCATATGCTCGGCTTGTGCCAATGGACCCGAGTCTGGCCATGGAAATCCGCGTGCGCCAGCAGCGCAGGCTTCGCATTAGCCAGGTGCACGTCCGCTATATAAAGGAGATGCAATCACTCCCTGGTTTTTCTGGTACAACAGATCGCGGTGTACATCTTGGTGCACGAAATGATACAATGAATGCCACTGGGGAGAATATCTCTCTCGACGCCCTCCTGGAAAGCCTCAATTTTGACTATGAGCTCCTGCAAGGTGTAGACGGCGGCGATCAGATATTCCATGATTCGGATGAACTGGACGACGACATAATGCGACTGGTGGATTTCATGGATAGTACACCTATGGATGATGTACCGATGCATATTAGTGCAGTAGTACATGAACCTGATCACATGTATTTCGAATGGCAGTTGTAATGCATTCTATGGGACTCGTACAAAAGACTGAAGTAGCTTATATTGGGCCTGGATACCGTATTGGTAGTGGGACCAGTATACTGTCCGACGCGCGATGGGTACTTGAGCGGCATGGACTTGTACGTACTGTGTGACAGACTAACACAAACCTCGTTCTGCAGTTCTGTTACTTATTTCCTCGCCACGTACTCCTACCTCCCCTTTGGCATTTCTGTTCTCTAGTGCTGCGCGCATACATTAGCTTGCTCACTCTTTGTCTTATTGACAGATTTTATAAAAATGCCTAAGCCTAAGGGCTCAAAACGCGTATCTGCATTCAGGGCACCTTATGGGCCAGCGGCGATGCGGACGTGGTGTGCCACGGATGGGCGTCATAGCAGTCGTCGGGACTGTGATATTCGACGATTTTCTGAACGTCTAGGGGTCTCTAAGGACAACATGGAGCAGGTGGACCGTCCGGAACATATGCATTTCTCACCAGCGTTAAAGGATCGGGAGCTGGCATATAACGAGGGCATGTGCGATATCGCTGACGCAGTAAGTGCTATGTAGTAGAGCTGATGTCATAAGGCTGTTCTCATAGCACTCAGGCTACAGGTATGGCTCGCATCTCCGATGCCCTCTTTGTTGGCTTTGCTGTCCGTCCTGAGTGGGACCCTTCCAAACCCCTTGACCCCTGCCAGATACAAGTGGATGTCATTCGCACGAGGCAGTGGAAGATGGATGGCAACCGACATTGGCAAGAGACCATCAACAAGATAATCAAATTGCTGCAGGACGAGGTTGCGGCGGAACACATTCTGCGCTACCGGAAACGCGCAGGTAACTTCTTGCCGCACTTAGGGTATGTCGACACTGGACACGGTCTGCACGAAATCGATGTCCATCTTAGTCCACGTGTCTCACGAGGAGCTGTATCTGCAACCGCGACTCCGGCTGGGCCTTCATTGCCCGTCCCCAGGTTGTCTCCCGCTGCTGAAGGTTTGTCTTGCTTTGCATATTCTCAAGAAGTACAGGCAGCTTATCATTCGTTCTCTACAGCTCCTGCGACTCCGCGAAGGCCCCGCACGGCTGCTACGGCCCCGACCTCGCAGAATCAGAACCCTACTGTGACCAAAGCCTTGAATCCACCGCAGACACCTGGTCCATGGGCTCCCCCGCCGTCCAAACCTCGTCCAGCTGCTACGCCATGCTCTCGGGCGAATGCAGAAGCTCAGACGCAACCCATGCCGGCTACTCCGGCAACAACTCCCAAGCCCGAGGAGCCTGCTTGTCCCTCTGGTCATGCCACCTCACGCTCGCAGTCTGGAGAGACACCAATCCATCAGGTGTCAACGTCCGATGCGAAGGATACCACTGCTCCCAGGAAGCATTCCGGGAAAGGGAAGGCAAGGGACCGGCCGGAGAGTATCAAACCCTTTGCAGGTACCTACCACCCCAATGGCATATACCCGCGTTTACCCTCTGGAGAGGGGAATATGTTCCGCCGTTTTGTTGAACGACGCGCTTCTGAGCAGCGTGAGATTATCGATATCTCATCTGGTGATGAAGAACTCACGGGGCCCTCGCCACGTCGTCGGCAGCAAGCCCAGTGGTCCCCCGAGAGTGGCCAACAGCAGGCCGTCGAGGCTCAGGCAGTGCGGCGGCAGGCAGCTGCCACAGGAGAAGTGCAGGGAACTTTTGTAGATGATCCTCCGCCCTATGACGCCACCGGGGACATTAGGATGTTCGGATTCTCTGATGCTGTTGTAAGCTTCTTAGAAGCCCGCAAGATCAGCATCGAGGGATGCGCCCTCGTTTCAAAAGGTATCGACTATGAGGTTGATGTCTGGCCGCATTACTTCTGTCAAGCTGGCCTATCCTCCGACGATGCGTTCGCACTCGGGGAACCGATTTTTGAGAATATGGATCTTGACGCGAAGCTTGTCTTGGGCTTCCTCAATGACGACGATGACTAGTTTCGTATATCCTGCGTGCACTAACTTCTCCCTACATAGACCCTAAAGAGCAAAAGTGTTTGTTTTCATTCATTCACCCCATCTTCTAACACCATTTGAATCTACATAGAGGCCTGACTATGATGAACCTGGATAATGATGTTTGTCCTTCTTACCCTCCAAATTCTACTTACCACTCTCTGCACCTGTCACACAGCAAATTTCGGCTCAATACCCTGTATGGAGAGAGAGAATATATGTTTCATGTTTTGTGTGGTTAACCGAGCACGTGGGGTTAATATAAGCTGAGCTGCTCATGTCTTTCACTGTCCTCTCCGTTCTCTGACACGTAGTGCGATGTCTACCAGTAGTGAAAGGCCAGCGCCCCGCAAGAAAGCTAAGCTCACAAGGGAACAAAAGGCTGCTCGGCAGGAACGCAGTCACTCCCTGTGGAGCGATATTGAGGCGGCGCGTCGACAGTACCATGAAACATTGAATATCCTTGCTGAAAAACATGACCGGTATGTGATGCTCTGACCGTTTCTCACCTGTTGCCAGGCTTACGCCGCCTGCCAGGTCAAAGGAGTATATCTCGGCCCAGCTGTTTGCACCACCAGCACCATCTCGCCGAGATACACTCTTCAATGCTGTTGTCCACAGTGAGGCGGCGAAGCGACGTGAACAAGGTCAGCTGCTATCTGCAACCCAGAGTCTCGTGTTCTGCTCACCCCATCATAGGAACGTTTCAAGGACGTGATGCTCTCCCTAACCTTACACGGGAACTGCGAGATAATCCGTGGTGGGAGTCTCTGCCTGTCGAGGAGCAGAACCGCCTCATCAATGGGCTGGAGGAGAGCCGAAAGGAGAAGCGCGAGGTGAAGAAGGTTGTACCTCGTGACATTGGTCGTGATATCCAGGCCACAATGGACCTTGTGGATACACTAGTAAGACCTGGCTCACGTCTTCATCAAGCCACTTCTGACAACATAACACAAGCTTACCGGTCTTCAGATGCGGACGGGGTGTGAGGTCTTCTACGCTGTCCTTAGAGGGGGGGTTATGGACCCTTTCCGACCGCGCTTCTACTATACCCCTAGAGCGCAGGAATCTATGGTCACTGTAACAAAGCAATCAGTCGAAGAACTCGGAATGAAAGTTGAAGCATACATCACCAGCGGAGTCCCTGGTTTAATCAAAGAAACTCGTGTTAAGTCGAGCTCGGCCTATAAAAAGCTCGTTCGGTCAGCAGTGCTTGATGGTCTACGTGAGGCAGATAGCGCCCGTATCTGATAGTGACTGTTCTGACCCACATCTGTAGGTGACATGGTACGCAAACGAGGCTACGACGAATCAGCATTGCCTGCCCAGATGGAGTACGAGCGGTACGATGAACTATGTGCGACATGGGGCGTCGAGTTGGTGGGGTGGCCGGAAGATCCTATTCGCAATCCGAAGCACATCCCCACTATCGGGCGGCTCAAGCATGTCTACGAGCTGCTTCAAGGTGGTCAGTGTCATTGGAAGCTTCTCGACGACGCCACCTGGGACGAACGAAAGAATGCCATGCGAGGCAAGATCAGGCTGCGTCAGCCTCGTCAAGAGCAGATAACGAACCGGAAGAGGAAGAGTAGCGAGTTGGTGGACTCTACTGACGAAGAGAACGAAAGCGAGGGAGATGGAGAAAGTGAACAAGACGAGGATAACCAGGCGGACGTAGTCCGCAGGGACAGTCCTCCGGTCAGACTGGACAACCACGACGACATGGATGACAACACCCTTGCCCCTACCGACTTGAATAATGCAACACCTGCCGCTGTCATGGACCACAGTCACGATGAGAACCGTCCCCCCCTCACCATGCAGTCGCAGACCGTTGAAGACAACCATGGCGAGGACGACGAGGGTAGCATCGACCGGCATGTCCTCGGCGATCGTGGACAGGTTGTGACCTCGGTCGGCCAGACGTATTCTGCCCTCCAGGACTTGTTCTCGGGTGCTATACAAGGCATCGACGATCAACAAATGACCGGTTCTTATGAAGGCTTCGGTGCACTGCCTGGCCCGGGCCATGACCTCGGAGATTTGCACAACGTACCTTGTCCCTCGTCGTCCTCTACTCAAGCACCTGCTCCCGCTGATCCGTTCTTCCAGCTATTTCCTGGCGCCTCCCTCGATGGCTCTGCGGATGCTCAAGACGCATCCTCCCTCGATCCCGCTCTCTTCCCCTTTGACTTGATGATGGACTTTGGCATGCCTTCGACGTTCTCATCCTGAAGTTATACAGCTGTCGTAACAATCCAACCTTCTCGTTAAATGCCCACTTACCTTACAGCGTATAAACTTTAAGTTCCTTTGTATAGACTTAGTCATAGCCTTATAGTCCTCATAGATAAGACCGGTGCAGCGAGAGGCAGAATGAGGGCGTTCCACGTCAGGTTGCTCGACGTCGCCCGCTATAATATAGTACGTAGGGACAGGAATATCTAATTTAATACATGAGTGCTGAGACGTCTAAGTCAAGGGGGTACAGGTGGGGTGCCCAGAGGGGGGGCGGTGGGGTGCCCAGGGGGGGCGTTCAGGTGGGGTGGCAAAATAAGGTTTTCGAGACCCCTTGGTCTCGCGTCTTAGGGCGTAGTCCCAAGTCTAAGGGCTCTCGCTTTTGGTGTCACTCGGGTGGCTCAGGAGGCGGAGTTCGAATTACAACGCGTCGGTGGCGGGAGTCTTGTAACGCTCACCCGTCAGTTCGAGCGGTAAACGAGCTATTGTTCGTCGTCGCTGCCCCATCACTCCAATCGGGCCGTTCCATAGGAAAGGTGAGGCAGTATTTAAGCTATAGGCCGCTGGTTTTGCGCCTTTGCTTCCTCTCATCAGGAGAGATCTGGGAAATCATAGGGAATTCCCATGCTTGCACCTCCACTTTTCGACGGTGTTTGGTCTCTTAATCTTTACACACTTGATTTTCTACCAAAGTGACTTCACAAGGCATCATAACATAGGCCTATATGTATACCTACCAAGCCGCTAAGTCTCCCATTGCGTACAGCGCGAGTTTCAGGGGAAGTGTAAAAAATCCAGCTTTTACAGATCCCCCGCAATGATAGTATTTTGCGCGTAAGGACTCGACTCAGGACTCGTAATTAATATAACATGAGATTCCCTCACACGTGACAAGTCGCGTCCTGGCACCTCCCGTCATGTCGAACTCCGCTGACCAGACCGCCGACAATGGTCAGTATCTTCCGGTACGGCAACCGACAGACGACAGAAAGCCTATTAAACCGAATCCACCACGATTCGTGCCCAGCGCTGATCCGGACTCGATAGTCGTACCTGGGCTCGATACAACAGCACCGGTGAACGACCAGATTGATTATATCGAGCAGTTGATCACCGTCAAACTGCAGGTAAGTCTCAACAATAACGGGTTACTATGAAGTGGGAAGGGTGGGAATTGTATTAAGATGCCGGCTGGAGCTTTTGGCTGTTTCAGAACGAGACATACGGTATGCTCATACGGTATGCTAGAATGTGGACGAGAACATCGCGAAAGTTCATCATCTCCTTACTACAAGGATGTTGCCTGCTTTCAAGAAGTATGCCGTAGGTACGGAGCCCGTACGAGAAGCAGCAAAGGTGCGCACACGATCGTTCCTCGGGCTTTTTCGTAAGAACTCATGCATGCCTCAGTTCTGGGTCAACTTCTTTGAGAAAGCCGCTCGTGTACGACTGCCTATTTACGACGAGATCTCCACCGCTCAAGAGCACACAGAGCGTGAAGAGCAGGAAACGGAGCATACACAGACGGAGACTGACGAGCATCCCCACTCTGAAGCAGATGTCACAGCGCAACCAGGTTCATTCGATCCCGATCGCACTCCCTCAGAGAGCTCCTTTATGCCAGGTCAAGGCGCCGTCTCATCCACTCCTGCTGCGTTCTCGCGACACCGATCCGACGCAAGGCAGGAGAGTTTCGCGAGCCAAGGATCCGACGACGCCCCGTGGGCACGCTCGCTCGAATCCCCTCTTGTCCGCCTGGACAGGGAGATACAGAGCCTCTCGCTCGAAGAGCACGCGCCACCTCCCTCGCTAGCATCCGATGCGCCTTCCGTGTATCTCGACCCCAGCGTCGGCCACGAGCGCAGCTACACTGCAAGACAAGATAAGGGTAAATCCCGCGAGATTCCTGAGCCGCTGCTGCACAACGTCCTCCGATCTAAATTAATGAAGAACGAAGTGCAATCGGCGCATCCGCCACCTGGGCGCGCAGGCCAGACGTCGCCGCTCAAGTTCCGCCGCAGGCCCGCTACGCCCAAGGCCCTGAATCCGTTCCTGCCCCCAGAGACCAAGCCCGAGGAATGGAACGGCATGGTCGATCTCAGGAAGACCCCGCTGGTTTCGCCTCGGCGGGGGGGTCATATTTCTTCTTACACCTCGGCTGGTCCTTCAGCAGCACCCAAGACGCCCGAAGAACAGGACGACGACGAGGACCTCTACCCGCCAGGCATGTCACCTCTGACCACTATCCAGCTGCCCACCCTCGCAAGGCCCTCCTTCGCCCCGGCCTTGGGCCGGTCCCCAAGCAAAGAAGCCGCCAGAAGGATCGGGCGCGATCTTATCAGCGACGCGCAGAGACGCGGTGGGAAGGGCACAGTGGAGACCAGCCTGAGCTCGATGCCCACCCCGCCATCTCTTCAGCGGTACACGCGCGATGCTTACGAGCCGCGGCGTGTTCCCGGGACCGACGTCAGCTCGAGCGGCGTGGACACGAGCCTCGAAAGTCTGATGAGACGCGTGGGCCTCAACGTCCAGGGTTCCGCAGGAGAGGGAAGATCCGCCACCCTCTCCGCCGCCTTGTCTGTACCATTATCCACCCTGCGTGGACCTCCAGCGCCAGCCGTGGCATCTTATCGAGAGCCTTCTCCACCTGCTGAGGAGCAGCTGCAGACTCCAGAGCCGGTGTACGATCTGCGGCACGTCCAAGACGACGACACGGTACTGGGACGGGGGACATACCAAGAAGACTCGTTCGACTCGTTCGACGACTCACTCGACGAAGTCAACGACACCGCGCACCCGTCCGCCGCATTCCTCATGGCGTCAGCGCAGCGCGGGCCGAACGATCTCGACGACTCGTTCGGCTCGTCGGATAGTGGGGACTCGCTGCAGTACGCGGGCCCGCCGATGGTGTTTGACGACGGCGTCGGCTTCGACTCATTCGACGACGACATGTACGACGACGAGGGACCGACGGAGACGCTCTTCGGCGCGCGCGGACCGCAGGGCATGGACCAGTTGCAGCTGAGGAGCCATGGGCTGCTGGAGGAAGATACCATTGGGGTAGGCCAGCAGATGGCAAGGGCTGGCAGGATTGCCCGGAGTCCCAGCCACGGAGCGGAGAACATCGACAACGTCCCGATGCTAGGACAATGAAATCGCACACTTGAACTGACACCTTGGTACTTACCGCGTACGATGAAGAGAGCTAGTGTCCTCATCCACGCAGAGTACGACCAATCGTGAATTACAGCCGAGTAATACAAGTTAGTCTCTCGCCGACAACGTGTATAGCGGCGACCTACAAATACTTCTGTTTGGTACTGGTACTGTTTATTACACTGCCACTACTTGCTTCAATGCCTGTCTTATCAAGCAACAGGAAAAGGAAAGGGAGAGTACATTGGTCCTACACCGACCGAGCAAGAAAGGGGGATCTATCACGCCTGGAAGCGAAGAAACAAGAGACAGACGGAGGGTCCATGAGAATAGATACGGGGGTGAGAGGCCGTTATGAAGCGGCGGCTGCAACGGGTTGTCCAGGCCCGCCTGCACCGTCTTCGGGGCCTGAAATAGGCCCTTCGGGAATACCACTCGCATTGGTCGTGGCCTCGCCCACCTGGTGAAAATCTGCGGGACACGACACTCGATACGATACTCAGACTCAGACGGCGTAAGACAACCCACCTAGGATCTCGGAGTACATCATGACCTTCCAGGTGTCGACGGGGAGGTCAGCGTCGTTGAAGGACCAGTCGAACTTGTCGGCGGCTTCGGGCTCGTCAGTGGGGTCGTGGTAGGGCGCGACGTACTCGTGCGCGAGCGCCTCGGTCGCAGTGATGCGTTTCCGCGGGTCGAACACGAGCATCTTCTCGAGCAGGTCCAGCGCGTCGGGATCCTTGCAATGTAGCTTATTGCTGAACGGCTGGCGTTCCCGCTTCGGCAGGCTCTGCACGAATCGGAGGGTCTAAAGGCGGGTCAACTTACTGTAAGGCATCGGGCAATGAGAATTACATACATTTTCGCTAGCAATGGTCGCAATGACATCGTCCGGCGGCGTCCCAAGCAGCTCCGTGATGATGGAGAACTGATTGACATCTGTAGTCGTGTTAGCAGTATCCCACCAGGAAATCCCAAAACGTCACGCACGGTCCTTGCCCGGGAAGAGCGGCTTGCCCTCGAGCATCTCTGCAAAGATGCACCCCGCGCTCCATATGTCCACGGCGACGTCGTACTTTTGCCAGGTCAGCATGATCTCGGGCGCGCGGTAGTAGCGCGTCGAGACGTAGCCCGTCATCTGCGGGTCCTGGATGCGCGCCAGGCCAAAGTCGCAGATCTTCAGGTCGCAGTTCTCGTTCACGAGGATGTTGCTTGGTTTCTGGTGAAAAGCGTGAGTGTCGTGGAATTGTGCAAAGGATGAGCGGCTACGTACGAGGTCACGGTGGACAACTCCGGCAGAGTGAACGTATTTGAGGCCACGCTGGTAAAGACAGGTTCAGCAATGAAATCAAAGAGATGGGATTGTCAGAGGCAGAAGAGCGCGCAGAAGTTGCCGAAACCATCAATTCCGAATGTAATCGATGCACAAAACCAATGGTGCCTAGCTGCCGCGACCGAGACGTCCGCCGTCTCGGAGACTCGTCCATGCAATAACACATAGCAATTAGTGGCTCGGGTACGCTGATACAGCGCAGGCCCGCAGACAGTCGAAATGCCCGGAACGTCTGCGCAGACGTAGTGATCTCGGCGACAACTCGCTGAGTAGACAAAGTTGCCCCGTGCGAGACGTCAGCGATCAGCGCCAGTCAGGCTAAGCATGCGAGGAGGCCCTGTGCGAGTATATCGAGCGCGTAAAGCGGCGACCTAATGCCATGATTTCGGCTGTAGGACATGGCGGTGTACCCCTCTGCAACTATCCACATGAAATTGTAGCAGTTGCACTGAGACTAGCATCCACGATAGATGAGCGATCCATCCGGTCGCATACAACCGTGCTTCCAGCAAGGTATCTGCGACTTCGAAGGGGTGTGTGCCGCGTACACGATTGTTCCACCACGTGCGGAACAGGGTGCGCTTGCGCGATACGTGGTAGATAAAACTGAGAAAGGTACCTACCAGGATTTGATAGAGGAAGTACTGAATGAATTGCTTCTCGAGCGGCCTTGAAGTCAGCAGTCGATGGAGATCGGTGCCCAGGAGCTCGGTGACAAAGTAGAGATCTTCGAGGGGGGAGATGAACACGTCGCTAAGGCTGATGATCTGTCATGTACGCTCAGCAGGAGATTCTGTAAAGATCGAACATGGTTGCACGCACGTTTTCGTGCTGGATGTGCTTGAGGAGCTTGAGCTCGCGATACGTGCGCTTGGCAAGGACGGGCGTGCTGAACGGCTTCATAATCTTCTTGATCGCGACAGACGATCCTGTGAGCTGGTCCTTGGCCGAGCTGGACAGCATTCACGTTAGGTTGGCTCGAGATTGACTGTCGAGCGACGCACCATACGAGACCGAAAGCGCCTTCCCCTCGCCGTCAGCACTTCCATCGCGCGAGATCCAAGTCTGTTAGCACTTACCCATTCCCACCGGCTGCAAGTCGACATAACGGGTTGTCACCTAGCCAGACGATGTAAAGCGTTAGGATAAATTGCAGCGCAATCTACGACTTAGACGCACCTCAAAGGAGGTCCCAAAGATACTGAGCTTTACGAAGGACATCTTCTCGGGGCGTTTCTCTTCGTCGTGAGCGGGTCCGTGCGCGTCTAAAGTGCCTCAAATCGTCCGAACGATGTCAGAAGGAAAGGTGTCGTGAAGGCAGGAGAGAACGAAGAAATGAAGTATCGTTCAGCCGACGGACCAAATGTGGTAACCTGTCGTTTACATACGGAATCGCAAGGGCCCGAGTTCCTTTTGCCCTTATGTTTCTTTCAAGGCTTTTGTCTTCTATATCATATAGTTCTATCAAAACATATCCAGACCTCGACACAGGCCCTCCATGTCGTTCCTCACAACGACAAACGACCTTCCTCACAGTGGTCGGCAAGATATGATGTCAGAAGGGACTTAAAGCGGAAGGTCGGCAACAGGACCTCGCCCTGCGCAAGCGTACCGGCGGCAAGCCTTCATATAATTACTCAGACTTGTAATAAACGCAGGGACTTTCCCAAGCCCAGCTGTTGGACTTTATTTCGGGAGGGCTCGCTGTTCGTTTCTCTCCAACCACCATGTTGTTTTCCCGGGCAGCAGTACGCGCACGACCCATCGTGAGTGCACCCGTTTTCTACCCGCAATTTCCGAGGAGCGGGTGACTGAGATGCGTTCCGTACTGGTTGCAGGCCGTCAACGCTAGACGGTGGGCGAGCACCGAGGCGAAGAAGCCGTCGTCGAACTGGAGCCTGTACCTCGCTGGCGCGGGTGTAGCGGGCTTGGGTGCGTACGTGTACTTAGACCGCACAGGGAAGGCACAGGCGAAGCCGAAGGCGCTGGGTCCGAGCCCGCTGGACCCGTCGAAGTTTGTCGAGTTCCCGCTGAAGAAGGTCGAGCCATACAACCACAATACGGCAAAGTGAGTGTTTGCATATATCTGTAGTCCTACGTCGTGTCTGGTGGCTGGGGCGGTATGTCGGGAGCCCGCCCGACTTGGGCGGGTTTTACTGTCACCATGTGTGCATGAGTGGTAGACGCTCTGCGGTGACCTTAGTATGGTTGCGGACGTTCTCCGAGTCACTCAGACTCCGCCATTGACAAAATGCTGTACGCAATGTACATCCGACATTCATCCGGGCTGACTATATCCAAGTGGAAGACTTCATGAACTAACGCGCCTTTAGATACACTTTCGAGCTCCCGGAAAACACGGCTGCCCAGCTCCCAGTAGCTTCCTGCGTGTACCTCAAGGCCTTCGGCGACAACGCTCCCAAGGATGCGAAGGGCAACCCGGTCGCGCGCCCGTATACGCCCATCTCTCCGCCTGACCTCCCCGGCGAGTTTGTGTTCTTGATCAAGAAGTACGACACGGGCGTTATGACACCCTGGATTGCCAACATGAAGCCTGGTGATAAGATCTCGGTGAAGGGCCCCCTGCCCAAATGGCCGTACAAGAGTTAGTATATATCTGTCGTTGACTCGTTGGGTTCCTTGGCTTACATTGGGGTGTAGTCAACGAGTTTGACGACGTCGGGATGATTGCTGGTGGTAGCGGAATGTAAGTTCCGTTCTACACCCGTAAGTGCATTTGTGCAACATGCTGACCCGCCGAAGCACGCCCATGTACCAGATCCTGAAGTACGCACTCGAGGACCCGTCGAATAAGACGCGCTTCAAGCTCATCTTCGCGAACGTGACCGAGAAGGATATCCTGCTCAAGGAGGAGTTCGACGAGATGAAGAAAAAGTATCCGCAGACGTTCGATGTTATCTACACCGTCGACCAGCCAAGTCCCGAGTGGAAGGGACCGGTTGGGTATGTCAACGCGGACCTGGTGAAGAAAACATTCGCGCCGTCCAATGTTGGTGACAAGGTCAAGATTTTCGTCTGCGGTAAGTCAAGTCTTCATTCTCTTGTCATTCACATGTGATCTCGTGTCTAGGTCCTCCCGGCCAGGTCAACTCTTTAGCGGGCCCCAAGGCCAGCATCAAGGACCAAGGAGAACTCAAGGGTGTCCTGAAGGAGCTCGGGTACAACGAGAACCAGGTAAGTCTCGTGCCCGACTTACGCCTCCTTTGTCATGAAAGATGGTGACTGATTGACTTTACTCCCTCCCAGGTGTTCAAGTTCTGAGCGCCCTTCGCGGTAGCTAGTGTAGAGTTGATGTGCTGTATGTAGGGAAATCCCATGTCATTGTTTTTATCCTGCAGTCTCCAGTTGGACGTCTCCGCTTGCCTGCAGAGACGGCCCGGAAATTTAAAGCTCTGAGCTGCGTGTAAGGAACAAAGCTCACGTGCACGACGCGTGGCGTTAGGAAGCTTCAATCCTCCCTTGACCTTGTACATACGCACATAGACTGGCTTGCGTATCAGCTACGACGGCGTCTACATACATTTCTTTGGCGCGCTGAATCGCAACTTTTGCTAGGTCTATCGCGAAATATGGGCTCCGAGAATCTAAAGGAGTCCCGCAGACTACCCAGACCTCTACCCAGCACGCCCACTGGTTCTCCAGAACCAAGGCCACAAGCCAAAGCCACTGGAGTATCGCCTACCAACTTCTATGGATCGTCTGCGAAACAACAGCCTCCTAAACATCCATCGCTGGGTACGTCACACACGAAATATTGCTCTCCCTCGCCGCCGCTCCGCTATTCCTCGCCTTTCCGCGAACCAGAGCTCGTTTCTGAGGAACCCGTGCCCGAACTAGACGAAAACGGATGGGGCACCGCTGCAGAGACTGGCAGCAGCGCCTGGGGTGACGCATGGCCGACATCGTTTGTGAATAACTTGGACTCGGGCTGGGCAGGCGGGCAGGACACTGGCGACTTCGGCTCCGGCCTGGGGCTCATAGGCGGCTCCAGCATGAACGGGATGAAGGTCGAGATTGACGGGCGGAGCGAGGAGGAGGAGAAGGGCTGGTGGGACCCCGCCGTCCGCGCGAAGCACGCGCGCCCCGGCCCCGGCGTCCTCCCGCCGCTACTCGAGCAGCGCCTGCACAATTCTGAGCATACGCTCTACTCGGTGAGTGTGTCCCCGCCCGACATCAGGCCCGACCACGAGCCGCCCGCGGGGTTCGCGCTGCCGAGCGCGGACGAGGTGCACACGGCGGTGCCGCACCCGCACGCGTATTATTGCAGGAGACATAATGGGTGGGTGCTGCTGCTGTGGCGCTCGTCCTCGGTCGCGCCGCCGCTGGCGAAATCGTTTCAGGAGACGATGCAGGAGAAGGGCATCGTGCTTCCTGACCAGAATCGGCGGAAGCGGACCACGACGTGCGTGGGCGAGGGCGAAAACCCACTGGGCGGCCCGTCGAACAAGACGCACCATTTCCATCATTACCCCCGTGCGGTCGACGCCCTGCACCTCAATCCCCCGTTCCAGCGGCGGGAGTGGGAGCAGCTGCAGAAGAGGAAGCAGGCAAGACGGCGAGTGACTATCCTCGGCAATCTGGACGAGCAGATGGTGATGTCCGATCCCGCTGCCAGCGACAAGATGGACGAGGACGCGTCGCAGGCTGAGGCTGAGGGCGACCTGTTGGACCTCTACATGTGCTGCCAGTGTTCGTTCTACTGCGTCGTCTCCCCGGAGGTCATCCCCGGCGTCATCTCGTCCAAGTACATCGAAGATTTCATCAGGGACAAGCGCGAGCACCCCGCGCCGAATATGAATCCGGATATGAGCGTTATCGGCGGGTTGGAGACGATCATCACGTACGTCACGTCTGAGCAAGTGTTGCGAATACTCATGGCGAGACGTCTTATGTCCATAGAGTCATCGAGAATAAGCTGTGGAAAGCGAATGATCGCGCGTTACCCGTCATGCGCCCTGCGTTCCAGAGGAAGCTGGGGTGGAACAGTACAGTGTAAGTGTTGGCTTCAGACAAAGCAGTTTGACTTCAGCTAATCCTGGGCAGTGGCGCTATATTCTCATCCCTGTCGTTCGAGTTGAACAGACAAGAGGAGACGATACGCCCGCCGAACACGAATCCAAGCACGCCGGAGGGGCTATCGAACCGGTCGAAGTTGCTCCGCGCCTGGGTCGAGCTCAGCGCGTTGTCGGTCGATTACATAAAACGATTCGGTAAGGGATATCCGTAAACTGGCCGATGGCGTTGCTGATATCTCGAATCTGGGCAAGCCAATAACCTGAAGGACTACGAGTCTCGGCCCAACTGGGTGAAGATAGAAAACACTAGAGAGATGTACCAGACCGCAATAGGAGCACATATACAACAGAGTGAGGTGGTAATAAAAAGTGTAACGGCTCTGCCGACTAACTCATTCTTCAGTTCCTCGTGGTTTGTTACCCGATGCACTTCTTCAATACTCTGCCATTTCTAAGGATTGGGAGGCCCTCGGTATGACGCCGACGTCTTATTCCTGGGGTGAGAGAATCTGCCACGCATCAGGGTGGTATATGTCTCATCAATAAATGTTGCTGTAGAACTCCTCGTATTTGCGTACCTTGCGCAGTGCCGCTGCGACCCCGCTCACACAGCCGACTATTTCACCCACCTTTGCAACATCGTCTTCGCCTTCCAGACTTTAGGCGTAACCTGTCCTCAGGAGCTACAAAACTTCGTCATCCAGGAGCGCTCGCGTTCCAGGTTCACGCACGACGAGCTGCAGCAGGCCATCACAACACTCGGGTTCGGGCAGGAGAACCGCCTGCGCATGGACTTTGACGAGGAGACGGACGACGAGTTCGTCAAGATGGCGTGGCGCGACGCGCTGAAGGAGGCGTGGAAGCACCCCGAGAGCAGCGCGAAGCGGAAGGAGGTGCAGGATGCGCTGATGATCCTCGCGCAGGCGCGGGGGAGCGCGGACTTGATGGCAGCGTATAATAGCGAGCAGGGGAATGGGATGACGCCGGAGCGGGCGTATACGACGCTGGAGGTGCCGGCTGATGTGGATGAAGAGATGTTGATTACTGTCTTTGTCATGAGGGTTGGTGATTCGCGTCACTCTTTGACTATTCAGCTAACAAAGGATCTCCGCAGGTTGAAGAGCGGCCGGCTCAAGTGGAGACTATGCGGGATGCGTTGAGCGTGATTGCTGAAGTACGTGAAAGCACTCGTCTGAAGCAGTTCCTCGAAACCGGCAAAGATCGTGAGTAGCCCGACTCTCATTATGAGAGGATTAACTTGACTCTACTTCTTTCGTAGCGGGAGTGATAGTCCCATCCGTTAGTCCAGATACTCCCCGCGGTCTCAATCAGCTTGGAAATACATGTTACCTCAATTCTCTACTGCAGGTAAGACTTGATATGTTCTTGTATGCTTCAATATACCGAATGAGCGCTCGTAGTATTTCTATACGATCAAGGATCTCCGGGAAGCTGTCTTGTCCACGGGAGCAGGGGATATGAAGTTACTCGAAGATGACAAGTTGACTGAAGACGACTTGAAGCGGCACCGTGTTGGCGGGCGTTTGGTGACAAAGCGGGAGATCATCCGCTCCAAGAAATGTAGGTGGCGTGCCCGCAGTCCTATCTACTAGGGTCCTGACGAGCGGTTCCCCCTTAGTCGTTCACAGGCTCGCTGAGTTATTCTGGGAACTAGAATACAGTGAAACTGCCGCTGTCACACCATCCATTGAGCTCGCGAAGCTAGCACTGGTAACGTCCAAGGATGAGGAAGAGGATAACGGCGATTCCGTTCAAACAGACTCTTCCAATGACACCGACGCGACGCTGGTCGAGGATGCTCCTCCCCGACATACTCCCGAGCGATTGTCCTCCCCCGCTTCACGCGGCTCGCCCAGCTCTGTTCTGGGTAAGCGGCCACGAAATGAAAGTGCCCCCGACCAGATGGAGACGGACTCACCGACACGGACGCCGGACGTTATCAAGGACGACTATGTCATGGTCAAGTCTCCTCGGACGGCGGGTAGTGGATCTGGGATGCCCGAAGCTGGCCCATCGTCTGCCCCAGCTGATAATGACGGCGATGTCGAGATGACGGATGCACGGCAAAATGAGGAGAAGAAGCAGCCGCCTCCTCTGCCACCGAGGAAGGCCACTACGAAGGTCGCTGATTCAGGGATGATGTTCGGTACGTCCGCTATGTCCGCATTGAAAGATAACGCTGATTTCGTGTAGGGAGACAGCACGATGTCTCGGAATGCATGGATAATTGCATGTTCCAGATCGAAACTGCGCTCCTCAAATTCGACGAGCTCAGCGGCTCTGGGGACGACAAGACAAGTGTCGTGAAAAGGTACGGTCTTCAACGCTGGGTGTAGACCGGTGCTGATAGGCTGGCAGGCTTTTCTACGGAAAGATACGACAGCGGCTGACGGCTCCGGAGGATGACCGCCGGCCCAAGGCATCCGTGCACGAGAAGGAAGACCTTTTCTCGCACTTGCCTGTGAATGTGTCCGAGGAGGGTTATGACATATACGATGGCTTGAGCGGGTACTTCGATGACGTTGTAGAGTTCGAAGGGAAGAAGGCGAGGATGGAAGTGACCTTGGTCGATCTCCCTCCTCTGCTGCAGATCCAGTTGCAGGTGAGTGCATTGCCAGATTAGCGAATGCACGCCTTACCCACTTTTGTGCAGCGTGTGCAATTCAACCGCGAGACGCTGCAGCCTTACAAATCACAGGCATACGTCAGATTTGGCGAGACTGTATATATGGATCGCTTCTTGGATAGTGCGGATCCACAGAAGAAGGCGCGGTCGAAGGCCATACAAACGGAGCTCAACGTTTGCCGGGATCAGATCTACCGATTGACGCAAGGAAAGGTAGTTTGTTTGCCACGGTCTCTCGGCGTGAATCACTAAACCTCTGCCCCTAGCACGCTCCCTACGGCCCTCGCCTCTCGGATTCGCACGACTTGCTGACAGAACACCAGAAGTACCTGCCCGACGGCGACTCTAGTTTCCTCTCGAAGATGAAAGAAGACGAAAGCCAGTTGCAAGCAAAGATCGACACGCTACGTGCACGGGCCGTCGAGCTCAAAAAAGAGCTGGAGGCCGTCTGGGCGAACGACAAGGAGGCGGCGTACGAGCTCACGTCCGTGTTCATCCACCGCGGCACGTCGCCCTCGTGGGGCCACTATTTCTTCTACTCGCGGCATCTGCCCGAGAAGCCGGACGAGTGGTTCAAGTATAACGACTCGTCCGTGAGCGCCGTCCCGAAGGACGAGGTGCTGCGCGATACGACTGGCGACACTGCCAATCCATACCTGGTACGTCAGACAGCCTTGCTATACTGGCATTATGTTACACTACTGACATAGTGGACTGCAGCTTGTGTTCATGCGCAAGGGCGCCGAGGTCGTGCACACCGTGAAGCGCTTCGACCCCGCTAATCTGATCGAGGACACCCCGTAACCGTGGCTAGGGTTGTGAATGTATTGCTTCATAAACTGCATCATTGTACACTACGCCCATTCCATTTTCTTGCATTTTCCCGTTGATACCATTATGTTGATGTAGCCATACAGTTTCCTAAGATACTTGCATGTAGGAGGGCGGAACAAGACTCTACCTCGAGACGTCCGATCCTCGATAACTGGAGCAGAGCCGCGGCACTCCCAGGGTGTTTTCGGGGGAGCAGACGTGTATCTGAGTTGCAGAATCTAGGTGCTCTTGTGTCTGTCCGCCTGATCACTTCATGGCACGGAGTGGCACAGGCTCCTAGAACCATCCGTCTCCGCGTCCTCGATCCTCTCTGCTAGGGCATATGTGAAGATATTATGTAATAGGGCTTATATAATGCAACTTATTTATAGATGTGTTCCGATTCCCTTGGGAATTGGTTATCAGTACAGTACTGGCTTCAGTGGCAACACGTGGCTTTTCGTTGGACAGGGGCTATTTACCTCGTTTTAGAATGACTTTATTTATATCCTTCGGGCATTACCCCCCATTTGTACTGAGGGGTTTTGTACCCTCTTGCATCCGTCCTCTAGGGATCATTTGCTGGTGGTATATGGTCCGCTGTGAGGAGATCATGTACTGTAGCCCTCAATGCGGACCTCGGTGGTAGCTACTTACCTGCTGGACATAAATTGAGTCTCCTGCCATATTGAGGCGGCCGTCAGGCCGGCCGAAATGTGGCGGCTCAAAATGAGCTTTCTTGATGTACATGTTGTTCTCCGGCAGTGGTTCTACGTTCAACTGTTCGTTCTCCAGAGCTCTAGGAACAGTCAAGCGGAAGGGAATCGGACTCCGGCGTGCCGCGCAGCGCCGTACTTAAGCAAGTTTCCTAATTAAGACGACTAGTGAGGATGAGGACGCTCTGAGACGGCTGGCCCAACTCGTCGTCCGAGGTTTTACCGGAATTATGTAAGGCAGCTAAGCGACTAACGACGCGTCGGTTTATTGACGTTCGCCGACTGCCCGATTTGGATTTTCGAGCTGGCTTTGTCGTAGCACCTCAGCCGCCCTTCGAGCATGTCATCTGCTCATCCGCGTGATGTTGGGGACATAGAGTTTGCATCTGTCAATATTGGAATAATGCATCTCTGACCCGTTGATTCCATGCACTTCGGGCGAGTGTGCGCGGGAATCTCCCCACTTCAACCAAGAAAACAGTGAACAGCTATTCACCGCAAGAGTGAGGCAAGCTGCCATATCCGTATCATAGGAAATTTCATATACCCCGTGCTCTAAGGTCTTGGGCCATGTTTCATTGAGGAGCCTAGTACTTGCACCTTTCAATGTTTGCAAAGTGATTTATGCATCAAAAATACATAGCAACAACCCATAGACTTCTCATGCATACTATCCAAGGATTACTTCTATTTAATTGCATTATACATCCCGCTATCGACGCAGAGGACATGCTCGAAGGGCGGCTGAGGTGCTACGACAAAGCCAGCTCGAAAATCCAAATCGGGCAGTCGGCGAACGTCAATAAACCGACGCGTCGTTAGTCGCTTAGCTGCCTTACATAATTCCGGTAAAACCTCGGACGACGAGTTGGGCCAGCCGTCTCAGAGCGTCCTCATCCTCACTAGTCGTCTTAATTAGGAAACACATCTATAAATAAGTTGCATTATATAAGCCCTATTACATAATATCTTCACATATGCCCTAGCAGAGAGGATCGAGGACGCGGAGACGGATGGTTCTAGGAGCCTGGGAGTGGCACCAAACTTCAGACATTGACAATGGACGGAAAAGGCAAATGTTCTGGATCGACTGACGCACGTGGGCCTCTTCCTGCCGTTAGATGGCGCAAATCCAAACGCTCTTCCCGCAGTCCGCTTTCCTACAGCCTTATCGAGTCTACCACACCCTCGATGGGAAATATGGTACGCTCCCATTTCTCTTAACCTATCTCTCGATCTCAATAAACAATGATACCTGCAGGCTGAGACAGGCTGGGAGATCCGCATGTCTAACTCGCGCGGCGTTCCCTACTTCTACAACGCGAAGAACAACCAATCGAGCTGGGAGCGACCCGCGGAGCTCACGGACGATCAGGTCAAGTCGCTGCCCGGGGCGAAGTACCTCTCGGGCGCGGCTGCCGCTGGCGGGGGCGCCCCCGGGCAGGTGCGTGCGAGCCATCTGCTCGTGAAGCACTCTGGGAGCAGGCGGCCGTCGAGCTGGCGCGAGGTGCGTTGTGCTACCTAGCTCGTTGTCCCCCTCATGTGTCACTTACGTTGCCCCGACCCACACCCACAGCAAAACATCACCCGCTCGAAGGAACAGGCGATCGAGATTCTGCGCGGGTACCAGAGGGAGATCAACGGCTCCCCGGAGACGTTCGCGGAGCTCGCGGGCAAGTACTCGGACTGCAACTCTGCGCGCAACGGCGGGGACCTGGGCTGGTTCGGCCGCGGGCAGATGCAGAAGCCGTTCGAGGACGCGACGTTTGCGCTGCCCGTTGGCGGAATGAGCGACGTGGTCGAGACGGACAGCGGGGTGCATTTGATTCTGAGGACGGGGTGAGGGTGTGCTGGGATGGAGAACAAGAGGGAGGATATTGTATTATTATGTTTTGTATCAAAGCCGTGTAATGATTCTGTGCCATGTCAGTATCTTGATCAAACTTTCTTGAACTTCATGCACATGCATCGAGTCTGCAGCTGCTGAATTTTCTGCTCTTTCTCACTTGTCATAACAACTTCAGCGTGCTTGTTCCGCGGGCGCTAGCAGTGCAGTTTCGTCCCGCCATGCGCCCCAAAGCGCCTACGCCGACGATACGCTTTTCGGACGATATCCTATCTCTCGGACAGATTGGTTCCCCTGAAGAAATCGCACTGCATCGTTCCCTTCAACCACGATGTTGTCGAGCCTGTCAGTATCTGTCTAGTCCATCTTACCGCCGTCCGTGAATCTCAACCAACTGTCGGAATCTACTAGAGTAGAATATGCGTCCTCATGGACGGGGCAGAACACAGATTCTGACGGCGCAGCGGAGGGTACGAAGGAGATCGGGCCGATGAAAGTGTCGCAGTTGTTCATACACCCCATCAAGGTCAGTCCTGTGCTTTACGAGACGAGATCGCCGGAATAACCTTCCCTACAAACCTTGCCAGAGCTGTCGCGGAACGTCGGTACAGCAAGCCAGATTCACCTCCGAAGGGCTCGAGGTAAGCTGGGATATACACTCATTCTCCTCCCCTACCACAGTCTGACTCGGACTGGAAAATTCCTCGTAGTACGACAGGAAATGGGCCATCATCGACGCCGAGACGCGCAAAGTGCTCACCGCGCGTGACATCCCCGAGGTACGTGCCCCCGCGCTCCTGTCCTTACGAGCAGACCAATCACGTACACGCGCAGATGGTGCTGATCACACCGACGATCGAGCCCGACCCGTCCTCGCCAGACGGCGGCTCGCTCACGATATCCTTCCCGCCCTCCTCCGACTGCGCCGCCTTCTCCACCCCGCTGAACCCAAGCCCGGACATGCTCGAGCGCTGGGCGGTGTAAGCACTGCCCCCTCCCTCCCCCACCGCCATGCACTCACCGAGGCCTGCACGCAGCCTACACGGCCTCAAAATCTGGTCGCACACGACCGACGGCTGCCTCGTCCCCGCGCCCGCGTCCGACGTACTCTCCGCGTACACGAAGCGCCGCGTGCAGCTCGTGTACAAGGGCCCCGCGCCGCGCGCGTGCGACCCCACGCGCGCGTTCCCCGCGCTGCAGGCAACGGTGCGGTACCAGGACGGGTACCCGCTGCTGCTGGTGAGCGAGGAGGGGCTGGAGGAGGTGGGGAAGGTGATCGGGGAGTGGGCGGGGAAGGAGGAGGGGGTGAAGATGGGCGTGGGGGAGAAGTGGCGGGAGGGGAAGGTCGGGGTGGAGAGGTGAGTTGCGCACGATATCGTGTTAGCAGCGGATTTGACTTGGGAGCGGTGGAAGGGACCGGGGGTGGCGGGGGAAGATGCTGTTTGTGCGAATGTCAGCGTGTAGCGGTTTCCATCCGCTCGAGTCGGACCCCCGCACTTCCCCTCTTCTCTGCCCCGCATTTGGCTTGCCCCGCTTATCTGCCTTCTGGTCTTCTTTCACCGTCCTGTCTGTGTTTACGCTGATTCTGTCAACGATGACAGGTTCCGCCCTAACATCGTTCTCAAAGGCTCGGGGGTGCCCTTCATCGAAGACGCCCTGCAGGAAATCAGCCTCCTCCCATCCAAGGCGAACCAGAACCCGACAGCGGCCCCAATTAGCCTTGTGGCAAAATGTCCGCGGTGCTTAGTATGTGTCCTTATCTGTAGGTTACGTGGTGCTGAAAACGGTGGCAGCTGCCAAACGTCGACCCCGAGGACGGCACCCGCGACAAGGCCGTCCCGTTCAAGGTGCTGATGAAGTTCCGGACCGGGCTCGATCCGGAGAATATGCGGTCACCCTGCTTTGGGTGCAATGGCGTGCCTCGTGGGGACGGGGTGGTGTGTGTTGGTGATGATGTTGCGGTTACGAAGTGGCTTGAGGAGTAGAGCAGACAAGGATACTAGGTAGCGTGAGTGGAGGTGGATTTGTTCTGGGATTTGGTGAATCGTGCAGCTGCTGGATGTATTCTGACTAGGATTCTGATTTTCTTGGATATCGCCCTCGAAATGTATTGATTATTGATTGGTCGGTGCTCCTGGCGCGGGATTGGACTGCAGGCAGGTAACCAGGGCCTCCAGGCTGGCAGGACAAATGCTTTCCGCGTCCAATCCGCGTCGTCCGAGGCCGTTGTTCTATGATACGAAAGCTATTTTTAGGTCGGCAAATCAGTCCGTGGAGGACGTCTTCGTTCTTCCGCTCTTCAGGATCTCGGTACAATGTTCTTGATTTAAGCGTTGCTTAAGGTGAGGCGGGAATAGGGGCCTAAGCGAGAAGCATTGCGCTCTTCCTGCGAGTTCGATTCAGTATTCTACTGACGGTGAATGTTGTGGCTCTCGAGTCAAACTTACTTGCTTAGACTTTTTTATGCCAATGGCAGGCCCTTGGCGTGCAGCGTCATTGCTAGGAATTGCCTAGATCAAAAGGGAACGCAATAGCGATCTCGTTGTGGCAAGGAGACAGTTTTCCCGCCGCCAATTGACGCTGGCTGTGGCACGTCAGGAGGCGTTTTACCCCTCTTGGCCAGAGCCGTTGCCCTAACCTTATGGCCGATATCGATCTGGATCGTTGTCCTCACGATCTTACAAACATTCTTCCAAGCTGTGGGTGGCGGATGAGGGGGCCGGGTTAAAACAGCCTGCCCCAGGTATGACGCGGGCAACCAGGCTTGCTTTTCGCGTTCGCGTTCGACATCGACCCTGTGGGAGAACGTGTGTGGTGGTTTCATACTGGGGAAGCTGCACGCGCCAGTGGCAGGACTGCCGACATGTCCGGGCCCGCCGCCATCGTCGCCCAGCGGCTTGGGCCGCTCCTCTTGGGCGGCTTGATTGCACTCGGGTGGGTGGAATTACACTACGGCCTGTCCGAATCACTGCGATTTACGGGCCCGCAAATGATCGTGCAGATTGTCAGGGATTGTGAATATGCAAGCGTTCATCTACCTCCGGACATTCAAGAATGATTACGGTCGAATACGAGCCGCGGTACGCGTCTATTTTATTATTCGCAGACACGCGAGCTAAGTGGATCTGTGTCTCAGGTCGGATTGGTTTGGTAGGCGTCTCAGTGCGAGAGAGTGCCAGCTGAAGTCTAATGACCCACAGGTTCCTGGACCTCCTGCACTCCGCCCTTGTATGCGCGACGGACTGGACGTATCTCATAGTAAGCTGGGGTGATGACTCGGTGTTGGACCGTATACCCATGTACGTACGCTCGGATATACATCGGTATGAACGCTTCTGACAGGCTTCTAGGGCATGTGCGGTGCGTAGCTCGCTCACGATCCAGACAGCCTACTAACAATTGGTGCAGCTTACAATTCTGACGACCGTACGTCCCGGACTCAGACTGAATTGTCTTATGTACCTCTATTTACGAACTATCGTGCACAGGCGATGGTGACGTTCGTTGTACAATGGTAAGCGGTAGCGTGCGACCCTATTGAGCCCATTTATTGAAAGCTGTATGCCAGCTTCTTCACGCGCCGCGTGCTTGTCCGTGAGTGAGATATTGTTACCTTGTATGCATGCGGTATACTCATGTCTCAGTGTCCCGAACAGTGAGCAAAAATAATTGGGTGGTGTCGTTCCCTATGGTACGTTCCGGTGCTTGATACTCGTACACGCGCTTCCTGTATCTCAAACAATGTTTCGCTTCGTCTTCAGTTTGGACTGGCTTTTCTCCGTCTCGGTAAGCTTGCGCTCTCGTTCCCAGCCCGTCCCGAGCTCACTTTGGGTCCGCAGTTTCTGCGACCGGTAGGATTAGTTCATGGAATTATCGTCGTAATTCTGCTAATATCCCTTTGCACTGTCATTAGCGACTACCGCTCTCATGTTCGTCGCCATCTCTGACCTGATTCCCCACGCACATTGACGAGTCATACAGGATCAAGTCGGGCACGTTCTCTGCCTTCCGCGAGTCGTACCAAGTGCGTGCACACTCCTATACTCACACCATCTTCGTTCTACATCACGCAACTAAACGTGTCCTGTCCTACACAGTGGGTGTTCACCCTTGGCCTGGTGACTTCCGTCGTTGTGGATGTCCTGGTAACCCTCTCGCTGTGTCATTACCTCCAGACGAGCCGTACAGGGTTCAGCGAGTACGTCCCCGTTGCTGCTTTTTGCTGGCCACGGCGCTTATTCATAAATGGGTGGACAGCATGGACCAAGTGATTGATACGATCATGTTGTACACCATCAACAACGGTAGCTTGACGTGGTGCGTCTTGTTCCATCTGTTCCTCAACGTTTGCTCAAACTTATAATCGTTTTGCTCATGCGAAGTGTCTCTACCATTGTCTCCTTGATCTGCGTGCGTCTTCTCAAGCTGCTTCATGATATACACGCATCCCTTACAACCTTCGTCTCTTTCTCTGCAGTGGCTCGTGATGCCGACCAACCTCGTCTACCTCGGGTTCCACTTCGCAATAAGCAAACGTACGTGGTCTTCTTCTTCTTCCCCATCCCTCAGTTGCGGGACTAACGCCCCGCGCACACAGTCTACGCCAACTCCTTCCTTGCAACGTGGGTGCGCAGAGCTGTGCACAACGCCCCGCTAATCTCCGTGTCCACAGACTTAATACCCGGGACACCCTGCGCGAGCGCTCGCAGCACTCCTCGGAGAGGGGTCACCCGCTACCTATCATCTTCCCCAGCCGGATGAACGGCACGAACCGGTTCACGATGGTACGTCTTACCACAATTCTATACTTACACTCCCGATATACTCAGAGTGATGGTAGAATAATAATGATATCAATCCGCTCGAGACGACCGCCACCAAGGTTCGTCCCTATCTATCTGCTCTGGATGCGACGCGGCGTATTGATGACCGTCGAATACTGCAGCTCCAGATAAACGTAGAGAAGACGATCCATTGCGAGGTTGACGGGGAGATCGACATTGGGGAACACCGATCAGGGGTTAGTTCGCCCAGTTCGCCCAGGGGCTAAGGGTCTCAGTATTGTACGTGGTGTAGTAGAGGAGGATGGATTATTATATTAGATACACGGTTTGTCGATTGTCATATAGTATACCCAACATAGTCCTATCATTGATTCATACACCCTTGCGCTGAGCGATCCGACATAGATCAAAAGGTAGGCAGGTAATACAGGAGCAGGGGTTCCGTGAGGCACCTAGGCACCCAATCAATCTTCATACATCCCATTGTCTTCAGTCTCCCTCGGTTTCCACTCCGTGAACAGGACATCCCTCAATTGCCTTCCAAGTGCCATAGAGACATGCCACGACACCGCGTTCCCAATTTCCCGGTGCATCTACACGGTCATACCTATGAGCGGGAGCTGTCATCTAATGAAGCGGACACGTACAGTCTTGACGCTGTCCCCAATGGCATAGAACGTGAACCAGTCAGGGAAGCCCTGAGACCGGGCGAGTTCCCGCACTGTCACCGTTCGCTTGCACTGCACCCACGCTCAGTAGGGAGACGCTACGTAGAATTAATGACGCACATAAGGATGCAACACCCAGCTCTGCTTCGCGGTAGGCTCCATATTTGTCACAGTCGTAGAAAAGAAGCTGTCACCATCTATACGACCGTACAAGCCTGCAGGTCGGAGTTGTGTGAGTGTTCAATTGCTCTTGATGTATGAATCGGTCGTAGAAGGGACTTACCTGGTCTGAACCCTTTCCTGGCAGTGGCAGAGTATGGATTGTCCGTGAGCCACTCCTGGAGGTTGCGTGGTAGACCTGCACATAATTCATGAGTAAGGCGTCTGCACTAGCACTATATGATGACACCGCTTACTTCGATAGTCTGCCTTTGGCTTGAGAGGTATTTTCACTACTCTGCGAGATCGCATGTATTCGGAGGCCAGGATCCGCGCCGGATAGAGTAATCACACACACCTCTCGACAACCACGGGCTTCAGAACTCTCGTGATATGCTGCAGGTCTCGTACTTCCCTCCTGCCGTTCCGGCACCACACCTGGTAACTCGTCTTCGGTTCACACTCATACCTGAGATTGCGGCCTTTCAATTCTAATCCCGCATACGGCAACAACAGATCGACGTGGACCTGAGGAATCGTGCGAGCGCGGTCGGCGATTTGGCGGCGGACACTCAACGGTTCATGAGAGACATCAGGATGTTTCCTGTGTGAAAGTTTACAAGATCGGGAAAATAAGGAAAGGCCCGTTCAACACGTACCAGTCGAAGCGAGGTAAATCGTTGATCGCATCTTAGAGATACCATGCAAGATCGTGAGGAGAAAACGTTGCATGATTCGAGATTGACATACCATTGACAGTCACAGCGCGGTGCGGTGCTGTCCCTCTAGTGATCCGAATCTGTTGGAACACTTCCCCACTGGGTCCTTTGATATCCAGATTGTCGGATGGTGGGAAATCGTGTGTCGGTTGAGGGAAGGATGATAGTGTTTGATCACGGCGAGCGGCAATGATGAAGAAGCGCACCCGTGTTTGTGGTGCGCCATAGTGGCCGGCTTGGAGGAGGGCGAAGCGTAGTTGATAGCTAGAGAGAGCGATGAATGAGCATCTATTAGAGGGGGAAAGTATTCACATATACTTCATGGCGAGTAATGCTCTTACAAGGAACTTCAGTCCGCCCATCTCTATCCCACCCTTTACCGTGTACCTCGACTCTTGATATGACATGAGATTAAAACTGAGGAACCCACGGACGTTCTCAAAGAAACAGAACTTCGGTCTGATGAAGTCAATCCAGGACAGCAAGTTGAGTATCAGATTGCTCTTCCGATCATCAGCTCGCTGAAACATGTTCAATCGCGAGTGCGGTTGACTTAGGATCGTCCTTGTACTCAGTGCGTTACCCCACATGCTGAATGGGGTGCTTACCATGGGAAACCAGCGACTATAACGTCTATGTCTTCTGGGGTCGGAGGGTTTGGGAGAGGTCGGACCTCTCCAATAGACTTTGGCCGGTCAACTTGATGTCCCGCATGCCGCTTAATCGCCCATTGCAGCATTTTGTTAGCACACTGGTTGTATACGGTTGTATCAGGGGAGTTACGCCTCAATATAGGAGTCACATAAGTATCCAAAAAATGTCAAGTCAGTGATACTCACTTCAGAGTCTTGGCGGCGCTAGGTGAGATCTCCACAGCATGTGTCAGCTTCATGCATCCTGACTCCTCGAGACCTAGTGCAAAAGCCCCGACACCTGCAAATGGATCCAACACGCGCAGCGGACTCTCTGCGAGTTCGTCTAGCATCGCCTTCATCGCCTTCACGCGATCCACCTCGGCATCATAACATGGTGTGCATATTTCAACCTCCTTAGGTCGGAGCTTGACAACCTCATCAGACCACGATACAACCTCCAGGGTAGGAGAGGTGTATTGGACATAGAAATGCTTGTGAGACATTGAGAGCCACAGAGCGCGATCGGGGATGCATCCTATGTGTTCAACGAAGCAAACACCGATCAAACTGCTCATGGGGAAGTCTCGCACTTCGCCGGTGAAGAATAGATGTCGCTAAGTTGTCAGAGTACAAGGTTTCACATGAAAGTCAAAGTGATTATTGATTCCACATACCTCATCCTTGACCAGGTTAAGCTCGGCAGGAGCCTTATGCATAATATCTCCGACTCGTCCGAGCATCCGAATCTTGAGCATTGGCTGATGACCCCTCCTCAATCCACTACTGGGGGGTACCACAATTTTCATGATTTGCCCGATGTGTGCAGGGCCATCAATGTTCCGAAGTAGTACGAAGTCAGCAATATGGAAATCAGTACTGATATACCGTATGCCGCAGTCAATCCTGGCCCAAGAAAGGTGCTCGCTCTCCTCCTGCTCAACGAGACAGCCCGCGCAGTCGCTGAGTGGGTTCCGCGACCCAGGAGGGATGGGCATTTCGGAAGGTTGGATTTCCCGGAAGCATCCCTCCGCTGCCCTATACATAAGCCTTGAGAAGTATCAGAATCACCGAGACAAAGAACGGTCAATTGACTGTAGCACTTGCTTGTAGAACAACTCTTGGAATCCGATATCTGGCTTCGATTTCAATCCTTGCTCGTCTCTAGATACATAATGGACAGTGGCTTTCCCCGCAATGATACTGAGCGGGATGTCATCGCATATATCCGTCAAGAATATTTCTTGAGGATCCGCGATTTCCACCATGAGCGTTTTCGAGCTGTGGTGGAACCACCGGACATGAATTTGGTCCCTGTCCTCATAGACGTGCACAAGCACGGCAAACCTTAGGTAACAAGAACGGTAAGTACCAGGGAAGACTCGCGCATGTGTCCACCAATGAGAGATTGCATACCAGAAGTAATCTGTCATCCTGGCGGAGGCAGGGACTTCGGCTTCACAGGTCGGGAACTTGTGGGGGGGATTAGAGCCTTCCTGCCTCATTGGGACTATAATAGTGTCTCCTATCTACTCTTACCCGTCCGTACACGTCCACCGGGAAATTACAACATCACTTACCGAGTACTCAATATCGTCGACACGCAGAACCGGTTGGTTCAGCACTACAGGTCTAGAGACCCGATTCTTCACAAGCCGCACCACTCTCCTTGGTTGTCTAAGCCTTGAGAGCAAGAAAAGCATCCGCTGCTTCGCCTCGTCCTCCTGGGCCCTCTCCCGCCGGATAGTCTCTCGGTCTTTCCGAGGCGGGGGCGGGCCCACGACGACGAGGCGCTCGCGGAATAGCCCGGAGGCGAGGGAGGCTATGAGGGGCGTAACGTGTGTGGGATTCTGGTTCCGTGGCTGCAGGACTGCAAGGTCGAGGCTCCCCGACCAGCGCGGCTGGCTCTGCTCAGCTGGCGCGTAGAGAGCGTCGGGCGCATGGATATTCAACAGGGAGCAGACGACCGTGCTGCCCATGAGCGCCTTGCTCTCTTTGCTCTTACTGATCGCAGCTTTGATGACGGGGATGGCGGATTGTATGTCGGATTCTGCGTAGGGCCGCTCGAGAATGTCGTCCCAGGCCATCGTAAAGTACTCGAGGAATGCGGCAGGGTCCTGGCGTGGTTCGATCAGTGCACTGGATAAGACGAACTGGGCAATGCGGTGCGGGCGAATGAACTGGTCCCAAATTGGCCTATAGAGGTGCGAGGGGGAATCGAGTATGTACCATGCGTGAGGGGTCTCCATGTATAGAGGACTTTCGGAACATGTTAGAAGAGATATACGGACTGCAGGGACCAGCTTACTCGCTGAATTTCGTGTAATCGAGGGTGTAGCCCAGGATGTCGGGCAGGTGGAGACGGACCCCGGCATCGTCGACTTCATCTTCGTCTTGCTCGTTGACGAAGGCGGCTGATGCGAGCCCAACAGCTTCCAGCTTCCGCTCTATATGTCCCCGAGCGTCACAATCCGGTACATCGGGCGGACATGTTATTCTGTCGTGTTTGGAATCGAATATTACAAAGTCCACTAATAACCGGACAGGTTTCGCGTTGTCGTCTTCCTCAAAATCCTCACCCTCCAGGACAATATCCTCACTCTCCGGAACATCGTCGGGGGCTGGATTGTAATGCCGAGCTACATCGGACTGACGCCTTGGCCGTTTCTCATCCTTCACGAGTGGACGCCGTGAAACGTTCGAACCTACGGGAAAAGAAACGTAACAACTCACGCGTAGTGAACCAACCGGGACCTCTGTGGGACGTTTCTGGTTGTCGACAACTAGTGTATCATCAGATATGTAATCGAACACAGGACCCTCCAGCTTAAGCTCATCTTTACCTCCTGACCCTTGAGCTCGCGTTCGGACAGCTTCTTCAGGAAAGGAGATTTCGAACGCTGTGGGACGTCGAGGAGGCATGCCTCCCGCTAGTTTACTTTGCCCTGGATCCCAACAAACCGAGACTCTTGGACGATATGATGAGCGGGAGAGACCAAAGAAATAATACGGTAACATTGTAAGTAGCACATCGCCTTAGACCTTAGTTGATCGTGGGAAATTCATTTGTAGTCGCGACCCTACCTACTATTACAACATTAATCATGAACCTGTTATGATACAGGAACGGACGTCCCAGCACTAGTGCTAGACTTGAACGCGACGTTTCTTCAACTGCTCTTTCATATAGATTCAGCAGGTATACTATACCATTTCTTAGCAGAATCTCCATTGATATAAGTATGTTATTGCCCAGGGTCCCAGCTGCTGCCCTCCTTACAGTTGGTCTGCCATGCAGTCTCTCCGCTCTGTGCGCAAGCCATCCAACGGTCGGCAGGCGAAACGCCAGCCGTCGACGAGGCCTACAAAACCCAATGGTGCCCCCTCTAAAGATGCACGGAAGTCCCGGGTCGATGACAAGATCAAGAAGCGTATGTCCATGCGATATGCGGACATCTCTGCACCGACAGACGCGACGAACGTACCCGCGGTTCCATCGCTGCCGATTGGTGTCACCGCTACCCGCAGCCAGCGGGACGACTTCGATGGGGCGGAGAGGGAGCGAGCGCAGCCGAGGGGCGATTCAAAGGCGGCGGAGATGAAGCTGCTGGACTCGGAGGACTTCGATCCTGACGCCTGTACGTCTTATGATTGTCTGGCCGTTCTGTTGCTGATTATGGGCAATACAGATCTCAAGCTAAAACTAGCCAACTCTACCGAGGCGGAGCTCAAGTCCCTGCAGTCTTCGCTACGTTCCGCCAAAGACGACGTCGCCGCGGACTTGCAGAAGAACGTCTTCAAGAAGTACGCATAATATATGAATCTGGTCATAGTGGTCAACTAAGTTACGGCTAAGCTACGCAGAGTTCGTGCTCGTTTCGAAGGAGATTAGCGTGCTCGAGAATGAAATGCTCGAGCTGAAGGAGAGCCTATCCGAGTGGAAGAGCATGCCCTCCTTGCTCCACATCGACGAATCTGCCTCTGCCGCTGGTCAGTTCACTCCGACCTTTATCGCTCCCGCTAACTAATGCTTCACCTAGAGCGCCGCCGCAACGTCCGGTCGTCCGTCGCGGACCTGCGCATCCTCTACGCGAACCAGATGCAAACCCTGCACGCGCAAATCGAAGGTTCTACCAAGTTCGTGCCGACGACGCCCGGGCGGCACGTCATCACCGAGATGGACGGGATCTACGCGCTCAACGCCGCGACGTACAAGGTTGAGCGCATCGTCAAGTTCGTGGTGCTCGACGACGCCGTACTGGTTGCGCGGCGACGGCGGAAGAGGGGGGAAGAGGGCGCGGGTGGTAAGCTCGTGGCAGAGCGTTGTTGGCCGCTAGGGGACATGCTGGTACTCGATACGAAAGATACCCCAAGTGAGTGTCCCCAGTTGACCAAATTTGGCTGATTTTAACGTATAACATTTCGCACAGCTATGACGAACGTGTTCAAGATTCGGCATGGGCGCGAGACCCACGTCTACAGGACGGAGACCCCGGCTGACAAGAAGTCTCTCATTTCGCATTTCCGTCAAGCCGCGGAGGAATTCCAGGCGAAGAAGCAGAAAGAGAGAGAAGGCGAGCACGAGCGGCGGAAGAGTCTTTGGGCTGGCGGTGACGTGAGTGGTATACGCGCTTTCCACTTCCAGCGGATTCCATGACGTGCGCCTTAGTTACAAGTAGGGTTGGATAAGGTGCCTCCAATGCCCGATTGGATGGCAGATCTCGCGCAGGCCGCAGGTATGGGTCCGAGTGCGAAGGAGAAAGTGGAGAAGGACGCGCGGTGGGTTGGGGAGTTCACAGATGAACTCACCGTCGCGATCGCTCTGCGTGAATGGGATCGTGCCGTAGAACTAGTCGAACAAGGTTCGCCCTTAAATTCAGTTTGCAACGGACGAACTGACCACTTTTTGGCATATCCTTGTAGGCGAGGCTAAGCTACCAACAACCGCCACCCTCTCCACGAAGCTGCCTCCCCTCACCGCTGCCCTCACTGCCAACCTTTTGTACGCTCTCTCATCCTGTTCATTGCGCAAATCGACCGTCGTGCACCTTATCTCCCTCCTCAACCGCCTTCACGCGGGGGCGGCAGCGCGTACGACATTCCTGGCAGCCCGGGGCGAAGCCATCCGGAAGAAGATCCGTACTATCCGGCTCGAAGGGCACGTCGGCGTTTATGTCAATGAGCTCGCCATTGTCATTTTTACTGGGATCAAGCACACGGCGGACTGGTTCCTGGCGAGCTTCAAGGAGAACGAAGTCGCCAGTTGTACGTGTCTTTCTTATGCGCGGACTGCTTTGCCTTACTTGCGTGCTTAGGCTTCGTAGACTGGGCGAAGAAGCAGCTGGAGAATTATGCGGAGATATTTAGGAAGCAGGTGTATACCTCAGACGCTGACCCGAACCTTATCGAGGATACGATATACATCACTCGTTCTCAGAGCAGGAAGGTATGCCCCATGTTCGCGTGTCTACGGGAATGGCTGAACTCATATACTCCCAGCTACTTGAAGAGTTTGGCTTAGACTTCCGCTACCTCCTCGACGAGCTTCTCGCCGAGAAGCCTAACAAGCAAACTCCACCCGCGTTCCGCCCGCACGTCGCGGTCAAGGTCCCTGAACCCACTCGGACGCCCGCCACAACGCCTGTCGCAGGCCGGTCGCCGCAGAATACTCCTCCACGAGGGCAGTCGCCTGCCCCCCCTCTACCTGCGCCGTTGGCCGCCCCCACGCCCATTCCTCCCCGCATGCGTTCACCCGCGCCTAGTGCGCCTGGATCGACGCCAAGTTCTCCTGGCCCGCTGCGGGAACGCCCTCCGAGGTCGTTGAGGGGTAGTCCGGCGCCGCCGCCGAGGTCGAGAGACCGCCCTGGGAGTTCCTCAGGACATAGGCCCCCGCCAGTCGCCGTTCCCAGGAGTGAAGGCATGTTCTGATCTCTTCTTATGTACTATGTGCATCTCTGTTTTGTTGTGGACTAATATAGCGGAATCGTTTATTGTGGCATCCCCACGATACTATTGCCGCAGTAATGTAATCTTATTGGGACTGATTCTCGTACGCAGCAGGTTCGATGCAACGTCGAGCATTTCTGGAGGTAATCATAAAACGATGACATGAGAAAGCGCGGAGCTCGAACGTAATACAAACGCACGTGGCAGTGCAGGCGAGATTTATTGCTGTTTCATTATGATGGACGCGATGACTGCGCAGAAAAGGTACGTGAGGAGCTGTTTATACAGCGGTAAGCAGGGACGCTTTCACGAAAATCCCAAACGACGTCGTTCACTGACCATGTACGTCTTATGATCATGGAGGGGCCCATTTTGTTTTAACATCCGATATCCCAGGTACGCGTGGGCTGATGCTAGGGGTGTAGGCGCGACCTCTGCGAGTTGCCCTACGTACAACACGAGAAAGGCGGCCGGAATAAAACCGAACACCAGCGCCGTTCTGCTCGTAGTTTCCCCGTACACCAGCGGCATCGTTCTTCGTCCAACTTTCGCGTCTCCTTTCACATCACGGAAGTCTTGAATCGGCGAGAGAAGTCCGGTCCACAACGCTACCGTCAGGATATATGATAGGTTGGTCGGGTTAAGAGGTGCAATGATTTTCCAGCAGCCGCTAAGAAGCGTCCAAGTTCCTATTGCCATCCCAACACAATCCTTGCCCAACCAATGGTCTCCCGCTGATGTCAAGTTCAAAAATGCGATATCGACGACATAGACAAGGGTTTCTGGCAAGATCGGACTGTGCACTGATCCTATAGTCATGAACATGACGAGGACGGCGAGCCATCGAGCTTTAGCCCCGTCCATGGTGACCAGTCCTGAAGGTATGGGTCTGTCCGGCTTGTTCAGGCGGTCTTCATCTACGCCTGTTATTTGATTGGACAGATCAAACAGGTACACATAGGTTGTGACCCATGCGCCCAGGCAGATGGCACGAAGGGCCGCTGACTGGAGCGATATCGTGGTGCTGCGTATGGCGGCATTTGCTATGATATATCCAGGGATGATTGTTGTAGACCAGTCCCTCCAGGAGAAGCCGAGAAAAATTGCGCATTCGCGCACTATGAAGGTCGAGACGGCTTTGCAAACTTGAACGTTCATGTGGATCGATCAGATAGACACCCAAGACACCCCTGCCCCGACCGGCGCTCTTTATATATGCTAAACTCTGGTTGATGGCCGTCCATACATCGCGTAACGATCTACAGAAGAATGCTGGATGTCAGTGCAAGTAAGACCGTGGGACCGACAGGACCACTCAATAAATGACACGATCTGAAAAGCACTGATTGCATTATGCATATGAATGTTCGGGCTTGACAAAATTACCTATGCTCACAGGTTTTCCAGATCTTGGCCGTGCTAGAAGACGGAGCCCACGAGTATATCCGAACACCGCACTGCTGCGTTGTCCACCGTGCGTACCAAGAGGCATGCCCAGGTCACTATTGTTTCATCATGATGGACGTGATGACCGTGCAGAAGCGGTATGTGAAGAGCTGGAATTCGCAAGTACAAATGACGCCAGGATATACGGCGTGCTGGCCATATACATCTTGTGGTCTTTGCTACTGAGGATCTTCCAGCAACCGTTGAGGAGTACCCACGTCGCGGTCGTCATTTCGTTGCAATTCCTCCCGAGCCAATGGTTGCCTGTGGAAGTCCCATTCAGAAAGGCCACCGTAATGACCCGGCAAAGTGTCTCCAGCAATAGCACTGGATAGAGTATCCCAATGATGGAGAAGCCAATGAGGATCGCTGCCTATCGCACTCTCGCCCCCTCCAATGTCACCAAACCGGACGGTAAAGGCCGGTCCGGCTTGTCGACGCGGTCTTTATCAACCTCCGTTATTTGGATTGACAGGTGGACGAAATATACGAAGAGGGTGAGCCACATGACGGCGCATGCGTAATGAACTATCGCAGAATGGAACGAGATCCTGGTGCTTCGCGTGGCGGCGATGGACAGAAGGGATCCAGGAATGAGGGTAGTCGACCAATCCCTCCAGGAAAACCTTGAGAAATATCTCATTCTTCTGTGATGAAGCTTGAGATGCGCTGAAGGTCTTGCATTCGAGTCGTTTGCTGCCTTGGGTTTGACACGATCCTCGCCTTTTGTACTCCAGGCGAAGTTCTTTCGTTACTCGTCGGCCTTCCGGAAAGCTACCTTTCCCTGAGCCACAGTTAGGCGTATCTAGCGGCCGGGATATCCTCCATTCCTTTACGGGGGTAAGTATAGGTATGGAAGAATTCATACTTCGAATCGGTGTCCTCGTGCCGGACATGCCAGAAAATTTTAGATGAATTCGGATTTTCCTATTGGTGAGCTGAGCTCACGCATCATCCGTCCTATGAGTCGGAGGGACAAGTCTGTCAATTGTGCGTTATCCCCGGTGGCCTCTGCGAGTCTGGAATAGGTGCGTAGCCACATATCTGTACACACCTATGCAAGCAGAATCTCTGCCTCGCTGTCGACCAGTTTAAATCGGACGTTACAATGTACTATGGGTGCAGACTATTGGCCTAAACAATTGGGCTGCGCATGTGGTCTGGTATATGATACGTGGACAATACACCGGCCAATTGCTTCGTGCTACTGAACACCTGATAATTCTGTGGGCAGGAAGTCAGTATGATACCCAAAGCATGTAAGATGGAAACAATTCACCCTCATGCCATCCTTCAGAGTCGTTAGATTAATATTATAGCTATTCGGTATATTGAGCATGCTCACAGTCTGATCTGCTGTCTACGGACCAGGGCCCTGCCAGGTCGAGGAAGCAGGATTACAATAATGCCTGTTACCCTTCCATTGCTTCATCTTAGTCGTTTGCTCTCACCTTCTGCATCTTATCAGGGTCTTCCCCGGGAACCTCGTTTTCCAGGCCAGAAAGCGCAGGAGATACCAATCTGAAGACATAAAAAGATGTCAATATACCACTGTGACAACCACTTGTAGGGAGGGGAAGTCCATTCCCGGTTCATATTGCTAGAGCAACAGAGCATCACCATAGCACTGTTGCGCGCTCCGGCTGGAGTCCGATTTATCGTGACTCTTCGTGCAGTCGAGTCTCCCGAAGTGAGGCGCGAGCACTCGACGAAGTCATGAAGGATGTGATCTGAGAGTATATCTCCGCCGCTATGCTTCGCCCCGACGTACTCGGCGCCTTCATAGCCTGCTGCCTCGCAGGCGAGCGTGCGCGCCGGCTGAGATAATAGACGCAAACAGCCAAAGCAGCGATGACCCGGGAGGATTTTACGTGCCTGGGCAGGATCCCTGCTCCATCATAGTCTGAGCCGTTTGGCGAGCATCATTTAATCACCTGCACGGGAGTAGGTGCATGACTCATCTCGACACAACTGAGCTGGCGAGGGCTGATGTTATACCTAGGTATTCACGGGGCCTCCACACCCTCGCCCAAGACACTGGCTGGAGGTGCCCAAGGCACTCAAGCTAAGTGCCCTTGACACTCATCGCAAGTGCCCTATGCACTTGTCGCAATTGCCCTAGACACTCCTTGCAAGTGCCCTAAACACTGGTCAGTAGTGTCTTAGACATCCCTAAATATCCAGGCGCTCAAAGGAAGTATCCAAGGCACCTGTGGAAAGTGTCCAAGGCACTCGCATGAAGTATCCCAGGTGCTCGCATATAGTGTTCCAGGCACTCTTGCGGAGTGTCCTCTATACCTTCACCCAAGACAATCGTTGAAGGAGCCGAAGATACTCATCGGAAGTGCCCAAGGCACTCGTTGGAAGTGCCCAAGACATTTGCTGGAAGTATCCAAGGCACTCCTCGGAAGTGTATCGTTGGAAGCATCCAAGACACTCACTGGAAGTACACAAGGCATTCGCAGAAAGTGTCTTAGACACTGATTGGGCGATAGCTAGGATTCACGGCCCTGGTCAGAATCGAGGGATAGGCCTTCGGCCCGGGGGATATGCGTGTAAGTATGAGCATGACGTATGTCCGCCTCTCCTCGTGCGACGCTTCGTTTTCTCCGCGATTCTGACGACGCACTCTGCACTGCCCGATCTCTCTTTTCATTATTCACTAGCTATAGTAGAGGTTGATATCGGACCGCAGGTGAGGTCGGAGGATGAAGTAAGCCTCAGATGAGAAGCATGCGCAGCGGGCCCCGACGAGCAGATCAGCCATGTTTCTAGGTGGGAGTGCTAAGTCAGGAAGGCAGAGGGATCGTTGATATGATTGACGCTGCTGCGCCAAGTACAGCACCGGGACGCGGGGGGCCTGTTTGTTCCGAGATTTACTTGTGGTTGCCGCCAGCCGTATCATGATCAACTCCTCCATAAGACGAGTGAACTGCTCTTCAGCCTGGATAGGAAGTTATCCCGATAATCATAAGTACTATACTCATGCCGAAAGGCAGAGCTCAACGGCCCGAGGCTAGTGACCAGCCTTTGTACTATCCTACATGGCTAGCACCGGCGAGTATACCGTTCACGCAACCGGGGCGTAGCAGATGAGAATCGTGAATCGGGTCCGAGGAAGCCGTAGCCGCATCTCTCAGTGCCTGGTCAGAAGGGCGGTCCCGATTGGCCACTCGTTCTCAGTGCACCCGGTGTGGGAAAGCTGCTACGGGAGGAGGTGGCCAAGGACCCAGGGGAGCGCGTCTATGGCTGCATGGCTCCGGGCAGATATCCAGATGTCCTGTCTTCGAGCAGTTAGTAATGCGGCATTAGAAAGGTATGAACCAGACTGAAATGCTCAATGAACGTGGTATAAATGAGAGGGTTCGCTTGGCGTACGAGATATTGCGGGCACGCGCACCGGCGATAACGAGAGGCATTGACAGCACATTGGGCGGGATAAAGTCAAGAGCCCGTAGAGTATGCCAAATATGAAAAGCAAGTCATCATTTGGAAGGCGTGTAGTCTTTCGTGGCCAAGGATAAATGACGATCAGCTAAGAGACTTTAGCGAGCATGTGGGTGTCCTTCAAGTGGCGTTCCGAGCGAAGTAGAGGCCGCTCCAGTCGATATCGAGGAGATCCTCGGGGTCCTTACTACCAGCGACACCTCGGATTATCAGTGAGATGCTGCGTTGTGGCAGGCTTTGTGTCTTATTCCTCTTTCTCTTTACCCTCTGCGCAAAGAAAAGGAACTACTGTATAACATTCTCGCGCAGTTATCAGGCTTCGCCGCGAGGCGCTCCGTGCTACCACGTGGTAGCTACGCAGTCACGCTGTGCGACGCGCGGACCGCCGAACCCACGTCGATTGCATCCACAGTATACGCTCAAGTGGTTGGTCAGGCGTGCCTGAACGCATACACTGAGCGTCCGCCAGCCTGTCCTCGACGCTCTGCTCCTCGTTCCCCACAGCGCTGGCCGCCCTTGCTAGAGCTTTTCGTTGCCGACGATTTCAAGCTATTATTCCGCTAATTGCCTTGGCGTAATTCCACGACATATACCATCTCCCTGGCATAGTGCACGCCGCACCCGATGGCTATAGGAAAATGGACAAGGATCCAGTTCGGCGGGGCGAACAGCGCGGGGGCTGCCCAGTCGAGCAGCCAGCAGCAGGCAGCCAGGCCCAGCACAGGCACACCGGCGAAGGGGTCAGTGCATGTCATTAGCCCAGCGGATTGCAAGCAGTTTGGCTTGGAAAACGTGCGCCTAGTCTTACTCTTGGCTTTTATCTTTGTATGAGTTCATGACCGCCCCATATGCTATCATTATTTAGTTTGGAAACACTTGGTACGCTATTTGTTCTGGGCTTGCGTTATTTGACCTGCTGAGACTATTCCTTGCCTCGACCAGCTACGCCAACTCCGTCCTGCAAGCGCTCTACTTCTGCGCACCCTTCCGCGACCTCGTCATCCAATACCCCGACCATGCCGCCCCCACATACCCCGTCGCCCCGCCGCCGCCCGCTTCCTCACCCCCCGCACAGTCGCCCTTGTCCTCAGCCGCAGCCGCGCCGCAACCGAAGCGCCCCGGCACCTCCCAGCGCAAGTTCTCCTCGTCCAGCACGCCGCAGGCGGAGACACCCCCGACGCTCTTCAGCGCGCTGCGCAGCTTGTTCTTGTATATTTCCGGGAACCCGGCGGATAAGGGCACCGTCGCGCCCCGCGCGTTCATCGATAAGCTGAAGGAGCTGAATGAGTTGTTTCGGTGAGAGTCTCGCTCTTTTCCGTTCCTGGATTCTTGCTTTTTCCTCTTTTTCTGTCTCAAAATCCCACCTTGGTGATTCATCACCTCTCTCTCACTTTCTTATGATGTTGTGCCCATGGGTCTGCTCTCTCGGTCACGACTTCATTCTCTGTTCATCTTTCATCCAACCTTCAAAAGTCATCAGGGAGAATTTGGTGGGGTTGAAACCACGGATTTTGATCCCGGAATGGCCAATAGCTGTTCTCGATCTCACCGGTCTGCGCGCCGTTGGAGATATTTCCGAAAATTCTGTGGTTTAAATCCTATCGAACACGCTCTATTCTCTCAAAGAAAAGGCTTCATTCTCCCTCCCTCAATTCTTGCTTCATTGTCTCTATCTTTCCGCGTCGACTTCTCGTGCACGCTTTTACCTTCATTCTTCTCTTCCGTATGATCCTACCTCTGTTCTCTCGAGTTTAGCTTCGTTCTCCCTGACTCTCTCCTTCTCTCTTCCCCAAAAGCTTCATTCTGCTTCATTATCTGTCTTTTCACTCTCATTCTCTCTAGCCTTTGTTTTTTACCTTCATTCTCTCTGGCCTGATTCTAGCTTCGTTGCATTCTTTCATTTTATTCAGCCGCTGCGAGAATTCAGTATTCTGATGCTGACCATTGCTTTCTGTGTGCTGTCCGAAATGGTATGATCTAGGTCGACGATGCACCAAGATGCCCACGAATTCCTCAACTTCTTACTGAATCGAATAGTGGAGGAGATGGAGGAGGACCGGAGAGCAGGGCTCGTCCCTGGCCCTTCAAAGGAGAATGGAAATGGGAACGGGCACATCGAGGACCGTGAGTACTGCGTCACTGTATCACTCTTGACCACTGGGCCTGTCTTGTCCTATTCACCGCTTATCCTGACGTATGCGTAGTGTCGACCTCGATAACAACCCTATCCTCCACCGCAGCGCCGACGATCACTTCCTCACAGCACATGTCAGCGCAGACACTCGTGCACAGGCTGTTCGAGGGCGTGCTCACGAGCGAGACGCGGTGCCTGACGTGCGAGACGGTGTCCTCGCGCTCGGAGTCCTTCCTGGACCTGTCGATCGACATCGAGCAGAACTCGTCGCTGACGGCGTGCCTGCGCCAGTTCAGCGCGTCCGAGATGCTCTGCCAGCGGAATAAGTTCTTCTGCGACAGCTGTTGCGGGCTGCAGGAGGCGGAGAAGCGGTTGGTGGTCATTCAGCCTCTTGTTCGATCGACACTGACTTGCCATGCAGCATGAAAATCAAAATCCTTCCGCCTGTGCTGGCACTTCATCTCAAGCGGTTCAAGTACCAAGAATCCCTCGGCAAGTACATCAAGCTGAGCTACCGCGTCGCGTTCCCGCTTGAGCTGCGGCTGTTCAACACGGTGGACGATGCAGAGCCGAGCGCGGATCGGCTGTACGAGCTCTTTGCGGTGGTCGTGCACATCGGGAAGTGAGTCCTCGCACTCCGTAAACACAATCGACCGTGGCTGACCCTTCCTCGCAGCGGCCCGCACCACGGACACTACATCACAATCGTCAAGTCGCGCGCACAGTGGTACGTGTTCGATGACGAGTCCGTTGACACTATCCGCGAGGCGGACATCCCCAAGTACTTCGGCGAGAACCCCGCGGGCGCGGCGTACGTGCTGTACTACCAGGCGGTCGACATCGACTTCCGCGCGCTCGGGATCAAGGTGCAGGAGAGCCAGAAGGAGGCGCGAGCGGAGGAGGAGGGCCCGGTCGTGCCGCCCGGTTTGGGCGGGGAGGATGCGCCTGGTGTGAGTATCAAGGTGACCGGGGCGGGGGAGCATGAGGACGGTGTCAGTTCCGCGCCGGGCTCCCCTGTGCCTATGTCGATGCAGCCGCTGAGTGTGCAGATACCCCCGCCCGGGAGCCCGTTGGCAGGTGAAATCAGCCCGAGCACGACGAGCGCTAGTACAACGAGTGGGCGTGACAGGGACAAGGACAAGGGCCGCTTCCACATCCGTCACTCGCCCAGCACGACGATCAGGCCGGATGGCACTGGGACTAGCGCCACGAAGCGGAAGGCCAGCGCGAGCGCGCTCGCCAATGGCGGGAGCTCGCGGCCGCCGTCGTCCCCCGGACTGGAGCACGTCGCGGTCGGGTTCGGGATGGGGATGTCGCCGCTCAGCCCACCGGTCTTGCCGCCGAGTTCGCCGAAGAGCAGCACAAATGGGTATGCATCCGGGAAGGAGAGGGAGCGGGAGCGTCTTCCGGAGAAGAAGCCGAGCACATGGTTTAGGCGGAAGAGCGCGCGCGTGGGCGGGGGAGGGGAGGAGGGCGAGAGGCCTGGCACGGCGGGCTCGGTCACGCCGATGAGCCCGAGCTCGTGGTTTAAGACTGCCGGGAGCAAGCACCAGCATCAGCAGAGTTCGTCGGATCGGCACCTTGGGTCGAGTCCTTCGTCTGGGTTCGACCGGACGGAGTCGATGTCGCCCACGCCGCCGGATCTGCTGGCGACGACGTCGAGCCTGGGCTCTCAGACGCACTCGCAGACGCATTCGCATAGCCATGCGAGCGCGAAGGTTCCGGATGTGCCGCCAGTCCCGCCACGGACAGACCTTCCCGCGCCGCCTCTGCTGTCTGCCGCTGCCTCCGTGCCCAGCTCGCCTGTATCGCCGCGCAATCACATACCAAGAAGAAGCGGGAGCACGGCGAGGCGGAGACCGCTACCTGAGTTGCCGCTCCCTACGCCAGGAAAGATACCAGCGAGGCCATCCACGGCAGGCGCGACGCCGTCGCCCAGAGCAGCCCCGTCCGAGCCTATGCCGTCTTTGCCTCCGCTCACCCCTAACAGGTTGCGAGAGATTTCGAGAGAGGGCCAGGAGAAGGACGATCCCTATAGGCGGCGGCCGCAGTCGGCGCATGCGAATGCTGACTTCGACGCCCCAGGGATTATGTCACCGACGAACAGCTCTGGCACGGCCGGCACAACGTGGAAGCGTGCGTCGAGGAAGCTCAGCATCACCGGGACTATGCTTTCCTTCGGGCGCAAAAGAGACAAGGGGCACGATAAGGAGAAAGACGTATCGTCGCCTCCGCCGCCCCCGAGTGCGTTCACGCCGCCCGTGGGGTACAGCAGTTAGTGTGCGCGGGGGGACAGCTGCAAGCGCCTATGGACGCTGGATGTGTTGACGTATCCCATCTCCCGTGATAGAGTGGTTGATCTTCGAAGTTTGCTGTTACTATTATGTTTATAGCACCCATTGGTTTGTGCTTTTTATTCCTGTAATCCCAGAGCGGGCTTGTTCTTGTAGTATCCTCTCTTTCGTTCATCTCTAGTCTCATCATCGTGCCATATTGCAAGACAGGGTATTTGTATTCAATGCATTACATTACATGACATGAATTACAAAGTAACTAAAGGAGAGGCCTGTTAGATGCAGCGATGCGCAGTGCGAAAACGACGGTGAATGATATAGCGATATCGATACAAATAAATTGAAAGGAGTGATCAGGTTCGATACGACAATGAACTGCGATAATGAGTGGACGGATGAATCGGAAGTCCGCATTTCTGTAGCAAGCGAGGAACTGAAGATCGTAACATGTGCCTTTAAAACGTGGTTGAGCTCAGACCCTTTCGCCCATAGGGTCTAGGAAATGTCACGTCAGACAACTGGCCATTGCAACTGACAAAAGCACTCACCGGTCCGCGGAGTCTCAGCAAAGTCAAAGATGAAGATGCGAGGGTCATCCTTCGCGCAGATGGCGACCCTACCAATAGTCTCGTCCCAGGCTATAGTTTGAACACCCTGCTTCCTGAACCACTCCAAGTGATGTCCCGGTATTACTAGACTCGTTACCCACTTCTCACCTCGGTCTCCCTTTGCTTGAATAGGTGAAAAGCGGTGCCAGAAGTGCGTATTCTCCACGATATCTATATTCTCATCCGGCTTGATGTAGCTCCAAAGATCTTTAAGAGGCGGGGCATCCGAGCGGTCGCCCGGTTCGACAGTCATTACCAAGGCACGCCCGTTTCCCGGAAGAATGACAGGAGACCCGAATATCCCGCCATAGTCGAACTTGTGCACTTCTTCGGCGGGGAATACGTACCGATGATCTGGATATAGCATGAGACGCTTGTCCTTCATATTGGAAGCATGACTGAGTAGTGGATCCATAAATCGCGGGTCGTCGTCGGGATTGACGAGCTCCGGCCGGACCTCGTATACACGCATCTCCTCGGGATTGTTGCATTTGACATAAACGTATACCGTCGGAGGAACAAGGAACTTGTCATCTTTTACATCCAGTTGGCCAGAATTGTCGTCGTAGTAAGGATAATGCAGCTCCGATATGTGGACACTGCCGACGTCGCCGTCTAACACCTTGGTCTCATCCCATTCAGCAAGGGCTCGCCGACTCTGAGTATACTCCATTCTGTACGTCTCGAACGAGTACTTGCGGACCACCTTGTTATTCATGATACGGCGGGTCAGGCGCTTTACCACGAACAACGTCCTCTCGAATGGGATGTGCTTAAACGCAAGGATCGTTTGAACCTGTGAATAGAATCACCCATCGTATTAGAAGCTGACAACTGAGTTGAAGGAAACACCGACAAAGTAGTTATAATTGTGTAGGTCGGGAAGACATTCAATCTCATATGCTGGAGCATCCAGCACCGCTAGGTTCTTGATCAAAATAAAATTTGGTCGACGGATGAGGGTTACATGTGGTTGTCCGTCAAGGTGATCAAGTGATGGAGAATGCAGCGCCGAAGTGGAGCGGGTAATGGCGAGCTTCTTGAATGGCGGAGGGAGGGCGTCCACAACGTCGTGATATGCCGGAGTACCCGGCATGAACTTGGCATGCACGTCGACGAGGCGCTCCAGAGTCGCCAGGGACGTGAACATGGTGACATTCTCGTAATTGAGCTCGTCCTCGGGCATATCGTACTTACCCGAAAGCATGGATGCGTCCCCTCCCAAGCCGTCGCGGTACTGTCTCCACGTATACGAGACGACGATGCCGTGCTGGTAGTTGATGTACATGTACTTGGCCGTGATTTCGAAAGCCTTCGAGGGTGTTTGGACCGTCGTGAGCGGATAGCAGCCCTTCCACCCATAGTCCAGGCCATAGAGCAGAATGTACCACTTATTGCGCGCGGCGTTGGACGCGGACGCCACGGCGTAATGGCCGCCCGGGAGGAAGGCGATGGTGTAGATCTGGAACCACGCGCGTATTTCTTCGATGTACCACGCCTGCGGTGCAAGGCCGCACCAATTTTTATCGAACGACATCGCGCGCGCAAGGATGCGCTCCGCCTCAATACCCCTCATGTTGCCGAAGTTGTGACGCGAGGTGGGCGGCAGAGGCGGGAGCGGGCCATGGTAGCGACGGAGGAAACGCTTCCAAATCACGCTCTCCATCGTCACTCTGTAGAGGGCTTTGTTGACCTGTGTGCAGGCGAGAAGGTCAACGTGCGAGCCGGGAGGGATGAACAGTCGTCGACGTACCGCTCGCAGAGTCAACACGTCTCGAAGTTCCAACTCCTCAAAAATCTCGTTCACGAGTATGTCGATAGGCAAGGCATCCAGTGACCTGCCTGTCCTGCGCCGTGGCGAGGCGAAGAGTAGTGGGAGCGAGAGCGAGGGCAGCGGAATCTTGCTGAGGCAGCCGATGCCATCGCTGAGGCCAGTACTGAGGGCACGACGTATGAGTGCGGACATCCAATAAGAAGGGAGACGACGCTTGAGCTTGAAGCTTGACGAGAGTAAGAGGGCGGATGCAGCCACAGTACAAAATATGAACTTGGTCGGCCGCTGTTGACGTTTATTTGGGCATTGCCGCTTGATACCATGGGAACACCCTTAACCACCTAATTCATGCATCGAATCCCAAAAATGAGCGGCGCTTGGTCCGGCGCCGGTCCATCCGTCCACCAAGCGCGACGACTATGGATCCATATGGAACGAGATGGACGCATCGAGGTCCATATGGATCCATATTTTCGCTCTTTGGCTAACGATGTTCATCCTTATTTGGACAAGGGACGCTGGATAAACCCTCGAAATTGAAGATGATCAAAGGACGCACCCCTACTTTTACAACAATTACCAAATTGGGAACATAGGCCGTGGGAAGGCATAGCTGTGCAGTGGCCCTTGGCCCAGTAAGCTGCTGAGCATCCTCCTTCCGACCAGCACGCGAGATAAGGACAGTCGCCATGATTCTCCAAGCTTTAGAAGCTGCGAGTATCGTTGGGGTAAGCCAGGTGTGACCATTAGTGACCCTCACGAGCTCGGAGAAACGTCCCTGAGGTCCAGCCAGGGCGAAGCGGAGTCGTAGCGCAGTGGTGCGCCGCTTGGATATGGATTGAGTTGGTAGACACCGATAGGTCGAAAAAGCGAGACGGCAGCCGACAGCAGCAGCGATAGCAGGAAAAGATTGGACGCATGATGCCGCACTTTGCTTGCAACCTCAAACGCCAACAGTCACTAAAGCGAAGTCAGGCCAGAGTAGTTACGTTTTGATACTGAACACCTCAGGCTCGCGGTACGTTGATCAGCTATCTTGCACTTGCACTAGCCAAGGCATATCAGGACGCCAATCCTGTGCAACACAGGCGCCACTGGTCCGCACGATCATATGTAACAAGAGACAAGCTATCATCCAGGGTTAAGAACTGCCGTCGTGGAGCTCGAGAGAACGGGAAGTATCGCGCCAGTAGCGGCAGAATCACGCATACTAATGGCCAGGGATGGGTCTTCGGCGACTACACAGAGATGAACATGGACATAGTGAGCCCTTCCAAAAAGAGATCAGCAAGCGCCAGCGCGCACAGAACCAAGAAGTGGCTCCAAGGTAGGCTTGCGAAATAAGACTTAGTGGACGAGCAACTGTCTAGCGAGACGCTGTCCTTGCCACAGGACCCGACGTTCCACCTCGGCATGGGTGTCGCGTGGACGGCCGTTTCCAGAGGTACCTCCTTGGAAAACACAGTTCTGTTGGTGAGGAGAAGGATCGCAAGATTACAAGACATCCACATACGCCCCATGAGCAAAGGCATACTAGCTCCCGGAAGCCATATGCACCGACTCTACACCAGACGGAAGAAGCTAGCTCTGGGGCGTGGGGCATGGCGCATACCCGAGTCGTTGGAACCAGTGCAACGCCCCACAAGTCGTCTTTTAGCAAGATTAACTGTTAGACAGTCGTAGACAGTGCTAGCCGTTCCAGTCATCAGCATCATCGTAGTCCGCATCTTCTATTCCGAGCATTGACGGTAGCATGAGTGCCACCTTGCATTCCGCAGCTACTGCAACATTAGCCATGTAATTGCCTGACCGCATCCTTGAGTTTTCGATCCGTACCGGTTGCTGCGCGCTCAAGATACTCGTAATGGACAGCATCTTGCCGTACCGTGGCTGAGGTGATAGAACTCAAACAGACCGCTCAACAGAACTTGATTGAGAATGCAGATAGCATCCATTAGGAATAGCGCCAGCTTATACTTAGTATGTCAAGCAAAGGATGACGGTGGTGGGCAAAGAGAAACTGCACAGCCATCAGACATAGCATGCCTTCATGATCACCACACCGCCTCTGGTCGTCTTCAAATATGCCAGATGTCGCTTTGGCAGCTGGTAACCCGCGTACATCGTTATAGTTCCATTCACCAGCATGACATTATTTGACGCGCCCGAGTGAGTCCGTAATCGCCTCGACATTGTCTGTCAATGTCTAACTCGACTGCGCAGACGGGCCTGGCGGCTAACTGGTAAATATACCCCGCGTTCCTTCTCCGGAACTTGCTTTTATTCACGCAAACTCGTGCCACTAGTGGTCCGAACCCACAATGTGCGGCAGCTGAAGCAGGAGAAATCATGGCGGCCGATCGTGCAGCTCGCGGTGGACGACGTGCCCTACCCGGAGGTCATGCTCGGTGTAGACGGGCAGAATCCGAACCTCAAAATACCCCATTTAATGTGCGTCCATATGCTCCCATTCTGCTATGTTCACTAATTGAGTTGATCTGCGAATTTATGGAATGTACACAGTCACGACGCGTCTCACGACTCCCGGGTGGACTTTGAGATCTGCTGCCAGTCCAAGACGAAGAAAAAGTCGAAGCGGAGGAGTGTGCTCGCAAAGGCGAGCACGTCCTTGGGGGACATCCTCGCGCGTCAAGACACTAGCAGAGGTGCGTTCCTACCCTTCAAGGCCCTTCCACCGTCACCCCCGAGTCCTGACATCGAGCCTAGTGGCTGAGATACGCTTGACGGCTCTGACCCTGACTGCGCGGCGGTCTAACTCGAACGGCTCTGGCAAGTCCGTTCAGCCCCATGCGCATCTACATGTCCGCCTCGAACCCCCATCTCATCTCCTACTCTCGCGCCGGTCAACGTTCTCGGAGGAGCTGTCCTCGCCCATTTGTACGTCCCTTTCGGTATCCTCACACTGCTCAGCCTCACCATATTCTGACTCCCTTGTTTCTGATGCGCGCTGGTATAATAGCGGAAGGCGCCCTCTCTGACACCTTGAGCGTTACCTCCGACCCGAAGCCGTTCGATGACCCTATCACGCAGCCCGAGCCGACGGCCTCAACGACTACTCTTCGCCGCCGCCGGAAGAAGCCACGCGGGTACCACCTCTTCTCCGACAGCGAATACTCCGAGGACTCGCCCCTCTCCTCCGGGTCCGACCTCGAACTCGACCTTGAGCCCTCTTCTACTTCCCATCCGACTTCCTTCCTGGATGGCGACCAACCCTCGTTCCTGGCCGACCTCGATCCCCCCATTGATTCCGACTCCGAAAGGCAGACCTGGCCATGGTTCGCCCCCTCCTTCCTCCCCCAATACGCCCAATACTCCGACCACGTCTCAGTTCTCTCCAAGCGCTCTTCCGACTTCGGCACGGGCTTCCTCGACGCGATCTCGCCGTACCACCGCCTGAACGACGCAGGCGGGTTCGACGCGATCGAGCGCGTCATGCGCGACTTGCAGGCCGAGTGGAATTACGTTGGGGCTTCGGTTCGTGTTGCTTGTGACCCATTTTCTTCCTTGCACTCATTATGACCTGTGCTGTGTACATAGCTGATCGCGTTAGCTGCGTAAGTCCCTAACCCATACTTTTGGTAGTACCACGAAGAGAAAGTCCACTGATGATGTGGACGACAGGATCGACGCAACCGTATTCGGCCTCTCCCCCGACGCCATCTTCCGCGTCGACGGGCTGGCGCAGCACGCAGTCGCGGCAGGCGGGCTCGCGGCGGGGCTCGGGCTCGCGATCGACGCGTGGCTGATATTGCAGTACAATTGTACGGACCCGCAGAAGTTCCAGGTGCACGTCACCCTGCTCATCCCATTGTGCGCCTCACTAATGCCACACCAGACCCGCGCCCTCGGCATCTGGGACAACTACATCGCCTTCTGTCTCACCTGCCGCCTTCCCGCGCTCTGCCTCGTCCTCTCCGCCGTCGCGCTCCTCCTCTTCCTCTGCGCTGTCGCGTTCGACGTCTGGCCGACCGCGAGCGTCGTCGTGTGCTTCCTGGCGGGCGTGCTGGTCTCGAGCCAGTACTTGTTGTGGGTGGCGTGGAGGCTGGGCAGGGGGGCGGTGTGGTTGGTTCGGGGTGTGGTGGGGAGGTGTAGGGGCGGGAGACCGCCTGCGGCGAAGGGAGAGGAGGGAGGAGGAACGTAGTGTTGGGGACTTGTTTTGTTCTGATGGTTACGCTCATAATTATATCCGTTGCTTCATATACCATACCATACCGCGTCCATCGCGCCGCTGTCGTAGTTTCCATTCGCACTTAAAAACAACAGTAAATGTACATCCATTACACGAGAATGTTAAGCGATGAATGGCACCCCTCCTTTCCATGGAGCATGCATATCTCGGGTCTGCTTGTAGATGGTACGTCAAATTCACGCTTCCCCGATGGATCATTTGCGCCTCGCATCTGCATAACAAGGCTACGATGCGACCACTTTATCGCTTCTTTCGTACAGTTCCGGGCGATGCTGAATGACCATCTTACCCCCGGTTCGTCATCTTCCCGGCTCTTGCCTCCGTGTATGATGTTCGCTCGTATTGTCGTCCTCGAATGTAGTTTCGCGGACCAGTTTCTTCCTGTCTGCTATCTTCGTGGCGACACCAGAGCCTGCAGCAATGTGAAGGCAGGCATCGACACCGAAGTCATGTACCAACTTGCGGAAGTGGGCCATTGCAAGCATGGCATGATACGAGTCCTGAGGCCTCAGGACTCGTAATTTGCACCGCCGTTGTTTAATTTGACCCTGTTCGCCCATACTGTCCCATGCCGTCCGATTTCCTGTTACATGCCTGTCCTTTCTCTCTCTTTTGTATAGTAACAGTACATTCAACGGGTGGATAACGATAAACGACAAACGAGAGTGATCACAACTCACAAGTCCTCCTTCCTCTCCCATTCCACCACGCAACCTCTCGCTGGCAAGCTTGCTGTAGTAGTAGCAGTAGGGTAGATCCTTGGTCGATAGGTATACGATACGGTATATATAAGTTACTTCCCCCATCTGCAAGAAAGCTAGTGCGAAGTCCCGTCGGACTGCTCCATCCCCTCGTCCCCGTCAACGTGGATCGTCTTCTCGACGCTGATCTGCAGCTGCACGCGCACTGTTAGCTCAGGGTACCCATGAGGAAAGGGGAGGTGGGGGGGGGGGGAGAGCGTACCTTCGTCGTCCGCTGGTCGAGCGTCGTCACCTCGTTTTGCATCTGCAATCCAAACGCCTTGAGAAGAGGTAAACGGGCGGAGAGAAAACGGAAAGGATGCGAACCCCGAAGCGATCCGTCGTGAGGCGCCCCTGGAAGATTACGGGCATGGGGTAGTCCCGCTCCGAGGAGCCCTGCCCGCGGCTGCGGAGGGACTCGCGGGTGTTCAAGCTGTCGCATGTGCGTGTCAGTGGACGGGAAGACGGGGTGGGGTGGGTGGAGGTGGGCATACGTTGCGAGGAAAGAGTTCGCATAGACTATAGGTAGCAAGAGAGGGATTAATGGGGATTAACGGGAAGAGGGGAAAGACGAACGTTTGGAGATGGCGAAGTGGAAGCCCATGAAGATGAGGTTGTGCGGCATTGCGAGCCACTATGTACGGTTATCATATTTTTGAGAATGGGTGCGGTTTGTGTGACATGGAATCAGAGAGGATGCTCACGCAGACGAGGGAAATGATAGTCGATATCCTACGTGCAAGGTACCAGATGAGAAAAAGGGACGGGGCAAGTGAAAAGGAGGGGGGAGGCACGTACGAAGTGAGACTCCCGTTATTGATCGTATACAGCATGATCGTGTCGATCACGTAATCCATACTACACAGCACCCGAACCGTCAGCATGCACGACCCAAGATGAGCGGGAGGGAGGAAAATGCACCTGCCGAACCCGGTGCGGTTGCTCCGCAGGAAGTAGCACAGCGAGACGGCGATGAGGACGTCGACGGCGGCGGAGGTAGCGAGGCCGAGGGTGAATATCCACTGTCATTTCCACCGCCCGGATTAGAGAAGGGCAAGGACGGGCGGGAAGCACAAGGAAAGGGGGACGCACGGTGTACCGGTTGAGGAACGTGTCAAAGCTCCTGACGCTGATCCTATACCAGGAGTGAGATAAAAGGGGCGGAGGTAAGAAGAGGTAATAAGCGTACATGAGTCCGGTCGTTGCTGAGAATCATGAGGAATGAGGCTGAGTAAGTCGGAATGAGAGAAGTGGGCAGTGGGAACGTACTTGTGGCGCACACTGGTGAAGAATAATCATTTATGAGTATCATCAATAGCCCTGCGGGACTGCCTAAAAGACGCACCTAAGCGGAAGAACGCGAGAATCCACTGTTCAATGTCACGTCAGCGTTCCAGCAGAGGAGAGGGGCTGGGAGATGGTCACCATGGGGGCGCATATCCACCAGTTGTGCTTGCTCACTGCCGGTTCGACCATCAATCTCCCTCTAGACGTCTTCAATTGATCAAATAGTGCTCACGGACAAGGACGCGGTGCGTGAAGAAACTATCGGGTCCATGGGTGAGGAGAGTGACTCGGTATTGGGTGATACCAGATTAAGCTTACCTGTGTACGATGAAGGTCACGAATGCCTGTGAAAGATCATGAGTACGGTGCGTTAATGCGAGAAATGGAAAGCTTACGGTGACTATAATCGTGAGCTGCGTGGTGTTCAGCACGGCCAGAAATACTGAAAGTTGCGTTACTTACAGCTATAGGTCTAGGAAGGCGAAGGATTAATGTGCAGGAAACTTTGGAACCGTAACCGCCAGGACTCACATGGGGATAGTGTCCAGCGTCGAGTTATTCCCCCAGCTCTCGATGAGGTACTGCCATGCTCCTGCGCATATCAGACCAGAATGAAACAAGTCCAAACCCCTTCAAATGTATCACACCTCCGCGCGAAATTATCATGCGGTCCGTAGAACTTACCAAACGACAGACACCTAAAGTCTTAGTCAGCTCGACAGCCAGACTTGGGAAAGAAGGAGCGGCAGCGTACGGTGGCCTTAACCCTCCTGTAGTCTGCGCGAAAGGTCCTGAAGTATAGGAATGATTGCATACTGACGATGCCAGAGAGGCTGCAAAATATTTTTCTCTGATCAGCAGCCTGAAAAAAACCAGACGACACGACAGAACGCACCCCAGGGAAATGAGACTGCCCAGGAGCACCGCTCCCAGCGCCTTCGAAACATCAAACGGCATACTTCCAGTTCCTCGTGGTTAGACGTTCAGGTGCAGCTTCGCGGGGTGGTGGCAGGAGGCAAAGCAGGCGGGTCCAGGTCATAAGCGCCGCCCGTAGACCGTTGCATGCAGCGCGCGACAGCCCCATATAAATGGTATGGACCGACCCAGCTCATGGAGTCTAACAGGCCGTGCGCAACGCAACATCGGGCGCGGGATCTCACCAGATCTGCCTATTCGGATGCGGCCCGATTGGGTAAAGAGGATCGACGCGGGGCAGAATTACACATAGGGGAAATGAGGAGCGGGGAAAATGAAAGTGCTGGAATGTTGCCTGAAAGCTTCAAGTACAGATTGATGGGGGAATCCACATGTGGACTTGTACTTACAGACTGTTATCCCGGGGGAGTGCTGGAGGACCAACAGCTGCGGTGGCGACCGCCCCGCCACCCCGGAGACCCCGCCCCAATCATCTGTCAGCTCCACAACGCAGAAGCATTCCACAGCCGACGCGATCGACCAATCAGGGGCCGTCTCAAGCGCCCCTTATGTCCACGCGCCCAAGCTATCCGCCGCGCAAGCAACCAATCAATCACTGGTATACAAGCAGGGCATTCTAGACCGGCCATGACGGTGCAGTACCGTGCCTTTCACGATGGTGCCAGTCAGCCTCTGTTACGCTCCTTTCTCCTTTCTGCCCGCGGGTAAAGGTAGGGGGGGAAGGGGCAGGTACATACGCTTTCTTTCTGTCGTACTCCCGCGATGTCGCTAGCCAAACGTTAACGGTAAAAATCTTCCTGCGCGAGCTAGATGGGTAACATGACGAATCCGCCTAGTGCCGAGCGGTCGTCCCTAGTAGGTGGTCACGCCGTCGGTGAATGGAAGGACTTGACTTCGACAGAACATACCGTACTGTATAATGTATGATCGAGTGCTGTAAGAGACTGTAAGCGACATAGTATAATTGTACATAAGGTTTTCGTGCCTTGAGCGGTTTGACTGCCGTTGATCGAATTGGATACCGCCGAGTACGAGAACAACGTTCAGGGATTGAACGAGACGCCCGGGGTATGGAAACTATGAATGATAAACGCCAAGGACCTACGCCGGTCCCGAGTAGTTATCCAACGCTCTACTGGTGTGGCAGCAACATGCATCACTTATGGCGTTCTGCCATATCGCATCCATACCCTTTCAACCGGCACAACTAGCACCGGTGATTAATAACGCAGACAGACTCTACAAAAACCCAAAAGACGCTCCATGCCCATGTCAGCTTGTCAATGTCACCCTTGCCCGCCCAACATCTTGCGCCGGCTTGTCGCTATAAATTCATGGTGCCCAGCATGGCGGATGCCTTCCCTTATCATTGCGGCGGCAACGAGCTTGCTCTTTGCGCCCCAAGCTCAACAATCCTTGCCCGCCGAGGCAGCGGCCTGGTCGGCCGCGGTCGCGCCGGTATGCGCCCCGTCGATACGCCGTCCTCTGAGCACGCGTCTGCGTCTGACTCCTCGTCCTCGCCTTCGTCCTCCTCATCTTGGTCAGAATCCGACGAGGACTCGCCCGGGTCTGAAGTGGAGTTGGAGGAGGATGAGAGGGAGGATAAGGAGGAGGATGACGATGAGGAAGGGCGGCGGGAACGACGTTGCTCAAATACGCCCAGGCCGAGGTTCTGCAACGAAGCACATGGTCAGGTATACATCGGAAACGCGGGGAAGTGCACATACCATCTCGATATACTGTCCCGCTTCGGGGTTCACATTCTCGATGTCCACGCTGCCGGGGTCCTCGCGAGCACGCGTCTCGAGCTCCGCGTTCGACGCCGCGAGTTCGGGAAGGAATGCCTGTACACGGGACAGTACTTTCGACGTTCGTGCAGCAGATGTCAATTCCATTGTAGTGGTACAAATCGCAGATGTGAGGACGTACGCTCGCTCGGTGGCTCGACGGCGTGCGGTCGTTCACCAGGACCGCTCAGCAGCCCGCTAACACCCGGCCTGGAAGTACTAGACCCAGACGAGGCATTTACTTTCTGCAACAGCTCCTCTACACAGCGCGTACGATGAATCCAGTGACGCACCGAGAGAAAGCGAACGAACGCACCAATCCTAGCCTGCCTCGCCTCCTCATCTTCCACGTCCAGCTTCCCGCCCGCCTTTACCTTCCCATTCACTTCACTCATGTCGTGCAGTGGTCTAGCAGGGACGAGGACTGAGAGGTAGGAGTGCCATCAATGTCGACGGCCTCCGTTATGTCTTCCAGTGGCGCGAATTTGGCTTTTGCTTGGAAGCCGCGAAATGCCGGGATGCCCAGATGATGGCATGTCTGTCTGGAATTGCCTTTCCTGGCCATGCAACGCCTTGGGTTGACAGGAGATTGGTGGCTGACCTGCGTCCTCAAGGATGCTGGAAGGATCCTCCATGAGCACTGAAGCAGAACCACATCACCGCTGAAGTAGGTGATTGAGCCGAGTACTCTCGCTTTACGTTGCTATGCGTTACAAGTAAACTTTGGCCATGCGATCAGACGCGGACGATTTCTAGGCGGACTCTGAGTAATTGCAAGGAATTCGAAAACCTCTGAGCGGGTTTTGCGAGCCCCCTCTGGGGTCGGTAAGTCCCTCAGAATTAGCCTTTACTTTCAAAGCTTACAGTGTTTATTACGCTGCAACTCGAGCTCTACGAAGGATGGGCATCACCGGTAGGAAGACATCACTTGAGCTTCCTATCGCTTAACCTAAACCTTGGGAATAGCTACCAGACCACATCTGCCTGCACGCTCTTCTTTTCACATGTACCAGGCTTATGCTTATAATGGTCCGGCCTGCGCTGGTCCACCGCGGGCTGCTAGCGAGAATGTCCATCAGCGGGACGTACAACGTCACGTTCGCGATTCTCCCCCTGCTCACCGCGCAGGTGGAGCTCCTGCTGAACTACTCCTCATGGAAGACCATCCTCTCACCCGACCCCTTGCTCTTCCCCAACCTCCCAAACGACACCGTCCCAGTCGTAGGTAAGTGAGCCAATCTTACCGTCCCCTCCTCGAGTTTCTCTCACCGCCCAGCACCATAGTTGAGCTGGGAAGGGAGATTCAAACCGGTCCGGGTTCCATCAAGCTCGACTTCCAAGAAGCCAAGCTCGAAGTCCCCAATCTCTCGCGTCTCACGAAGGAGCCCTCCACGCCGTTCACCTTCAAGACGCACATCTTTGTAGACCAGGCGATCGACGTCTTCGGCTCCTTCGTCGAGTTTGGGCTGCCCACTTCGCTCGAGACGTTTGTCCCGGCCGATTCGGCCAATGTCTCGGGCCGGGGGTACCCGTACAGTGTGAAGGGTGCGGTGGAAAGTAATTTCCTGACGTTGGGGGAGGGGGAGGAACCGAGGTGGGGAGAGGAGGCGTATAGGAACGTGTCGAGCCAGACGTGGTTTGGGTGGAGTCTGCTGTGCGGGCGGCATACGTACGACTACGAGCACCCAGTCGACACGCCCGCCTTCGTCAAAGGTGCGTCGCCGTATACGTTCAGGGTCGGTTGACATATATTGCTCGATCTGTAGGGAACGTCACGCTCTACCCGCCATACGTCGGCGGCGCAGACCCCGTTACGTTCACCAACGTGCATGGTCTGCACGCGACGTTCAACTTCTCCATCGCTGGCCCGGAGGATTGTGCTACTCTCAATAGCCTGGATTGAAGTCGGATGCCTATGGCGTCGTGGTAATACACCCCGCTTGGTCTTATACCGGCATTGACAGCGGCAGCGGAGACATGAACTTCCATTCATTCCCAGGTAAGCTAGTATGTAGGTACGATGCGTCCTTGTCTCCACATGGTGTACCTCGCCGACCATATCTAAGGCAACCCAGTCTCCCCATCGAATATCACGTTCAGCCAGGCCGCCAGCCGATACCCTTGTTTCGCCAACTGCAAATCGATCTGCATGCATTATAATCGTCAGCCTTCGCCGTGCCCTCCTCGAGACACGGGCACGCACCACAGGCACAGCGTTGTCGAAATAGTCTCCCTCGCACAGGTCGTCGCCCGAGTCGTACGAGAACACGACGCTCTGCAGAACCCTGAATCAGTGACTAACCTCCCCGCGAGCATTTCCACTGTCTGTCGTACGCACACAGTCATATGCATTTGCCTCCCGAGCCCACACGAGTGGACACTCCAGCGGCGTGATGCTCGCCCTCTTCCCCTTCTCCGCCCCCAGCCGCTTGATGTCCTCCTCAATCGTGGCCACCGAGCGCTTGGTACTGACCGGCTCCGTGATGGACGTGCACGAGAGCCAGTCGGACGTGAGTGACTTGTACTCACCGCTCTTGATCCGCGCGACGAGGGCGGCGATGTACGTCTGCAGGTTGCCGCCGTAGGACCCGTTGATGTTGGTTGTCAGGATGCCCGTGTCCCATGCCTATTTACGAACGGAGTCAAGCTTGGGCGTATGAGTGTCGAGGGTGGAACATACGGCGTGGAGGTTCGTGGATTTGCCGCCGCACACGGCGTCGATGTCATTCCCGCCCACCTCGTACGCCTCGACGTGCAGGGGCTGGCCGATGTCCCCCAGGAACTGCAGACGCGTCAAAATGTGTGTGCAATCATGCCAAGGGACGTACGTGATCTGCATAAGACGTGTTTCAGAGCTGGGTATTGTATTTGAGTGGAAGAGGCTGCGCACCGATAAATTTCAGCGCCTCTTGTCTCTGGCTGGCCGACAGGGAGGTCTCCTGGATGCGCGTGGTGTAGTTGGCTATGGCCGTTACTGGCCAGCACGGATGTACAGGTGAGTGCTTGTCGGGGAGCGAAAATATAATAGGACATACAGATGCAACCTCCATCTCCGCAGTCCCGGGTTTCGGATACCGAGCACGAGTCATCCAGGGGGTCATCTTAGGGTACGTGGGTATTATTTCGGTTACGATGAGCACGATAACGCACCTTCTGCGTCAACGAAGTGATACGGCGCCGACCACTTGTACGCCGTCTCGTACCGGACGTTGTCCGCCCAGGTCGCGGCGCTGCCGAGACTCTGGTTGTACGTCGAGCCCAGCGACGACTTGACGAAGGACAGGGCGCCGGATGTGAGGAACTGTTTCCGGCTTTAATGGCGGTCCTTCCAGGTGAGTATGAACGACTTGAGCTACCTCTTGCGCGATGTATCTGCCATGCACACGGAGCGGATGAGTCGTCTGCGGATGTGGACGTGATGTGTGGTTTCCTCACCCGACTGTCTCGTGACCCAACGCACCCCAGGCGGAGGTGCCCCGCACGAAGGCAGACAGTCCCAGAAGGCTGTATTTGAGGTGTCTCATTCCGATACTATAACGGGGCAAGGGCGAGCTGGATGCAGAGCAGAGAAACTGGATGGTTTCCTTGTCACCCTTCTTATACTTCGCGCGGTGCAAGGTATCTACCCGGATGGCAGCTTCTGTGTACTGATACCCCGCAACGTGCCTCGAATACCCATTCTATCTGACCTGGCCATATGATTGTCGGCTGAAGCACGCGGTCGGAAATGCAATATCATTTAGAAGTGCGTTGTGGCCGACAGGAAGTGACGCATGTTTTCCATTTTATTGTGGCTGGGAACAGCGCCCGTGTGGGGTTTGACAGCGAGGGTATTGAGGTGTAACTACCTGACGCTTACTGAACATCTAAGTGGCCCTCGTTGGCTTGGGATACTCACGAATCGGGAGGGGATGCTGTGCCACCCACGCTGCGATGATAAGAACGTGCATCTGCACTATTTTTAACTCTCATCCCGAGGTAAATAATATATAATGCCCCTCCCCCATTTAAATAAAATATGCATTTTCATTATATGATACAAAGCTCAAGAACTCATTGATTCGAAGTGACTTCGAAGGGGGTGGGACATGCAGGTTCGAGAGGAGACCGGACAGGTTCGGACAGTATGCCACAATGGACAAACAGATCCAAACCATCAGAGCCAGACTTCGGTGTAAATCGCTGTGTCGCTGTCTCTCTTTTCGTCGCACATTACAAGATACTACCCTGGCGAACCAGCAGCAGCCGGACTACTACCGGGTCCTAGGGCTTTCTCCTCCTTTCTCACCCGCCGACTTGAAAGCTGCTTACCATCGCGCTCTTCTCCGCTTTCATCCTGACAAACGACAAGAGAAGGAGCAGAGAGATGTCGACGTCTCATCAACGGTTGCGGAGATCAAAGACGCGTACATGACCCTGTCTTCTCCTGCTCTCCGTGCCGCCTACGACGCTCAGCTGGAGCGTCGACAAGCAGGACCGCGACCTGCGCAGGTAGTCTCGTTGGAAGAATTCAGCGAATCCGAGGAAGATAATATAGGGAGGTGGACATACGACTGCAGGTGCGGCGGTGTGTATGTCATTACCGAGCGTGAGATGGAAGAGGATCGCCACCTGGTGGGATGCGGTAGCTGCTCGGAGGTGATTTGGGTCGGGTACGAGATCGCGGAGGGGGAGGACGTCGGATCGGAAGGCAAGCAGTAGCACATCGGGCTCTCCACTGCTTCTCGTACTAGAGAAATCAACGACAATCGACTCGAGGAACGCCAGCGTCGATGGAAAAATGCTGTACACAGCCGCCCACAACTGCATGGTCGAAGCATCTCTATCTATCTGGGTGAGTTTCACGACCCAAGTCACTCCATCTATATTCTGCTGAGTCTCACTTCGTGCATGTCTTGTCAGAAATGTCGGTTGTGAAGAACAGGCATATATGGAATCAGGTGGAAGTAATTCTAGCAATTCCGCGTCTCGAAGGAAGTCGGCAGGGCCCCCCATCCCCGACGCGCGCTACATCCCTCCGGGGAAGCGTTTTCAGCAACCATTGGCGAAGGCCAGGTTACACCGGCTATCGGAGACGCCCGCGAGACGTTTCCAGATACCATCGGGTAGTTAGATGAAGAGGACGAGAATTACCACAAAGATTCAAGGCAGCGCAGATCAGTAAGGCTCGTAGAGACGGGACTTCCTCGGGCCCGACTTACCCGCGATCCATGATCCTCATCTGCTAGGCCCGGTTGAGTGATCAGTATACTCGCCGGTGCTGGCCATACAGGATAGTACAAATGCTGGTCACTTTTCTCGGGCCGTTCAGGTCTATCTTTCCGCATGAGCAGAATACCTATGAATATCGGCATAACTGCCTTTCCGAGCTGGAGAGACTGCCTAAGTAGCCTCCTCATCTTGTGGGGGAGGGGTCGGTACGACCAGCTTGAGTCCACGGATGTGTACAAACATACAGGCTCCCGCAGGTCCCGGTGCTGTACTTGGCTCAGCAGTGTCAATCATCAGCGATCCCTCTGCCTTCCAGACTTTGCACTCCCGCATAGAATCTGGCTGATCTGCTCCTCGGGGCCCGCTGGTTGTCATCTCAGGCTTACTCCACCCCCGGGCTCACCTGCGTTCTGATTCCGCTCTTTCACGGACAACGAAAGGCTGTGAAGATGAAGTATCGGGTAGAGCGGGGCGCGTCTTCAGAACCACGGAAAACGAACCTCGCAGGAGGAAATCTCTAGGCGCATATACGTCACGTTGATATTGGCAGAGATGACAGGAAGAATCACTTCCTCTCGTGGCGTATACCAGCACGGCTTGAGCTTCGCCTCTGATGGTCTATGCCATCACCGCTCTATCTCAACGTTCTAAGTTCGCCCTCATGGCTGATTACGCTGCTCAATGTCTGGAGCTGGACGTCGACCGTTAGAGCCTGTCCTACTTCCCAGAGGGGGTGTTGTGCTATTCTGTTGCACCCTGGCAGCGACTGGGTTAATATTCTTCATGGATGTACGACACCAGGTGCCTTGTCTCTGACATCCGCAAAGGTAGTGTAAGTCAGGCTGAATGGTATACGGTCCAGCTGGACAATACTCCCCAATTTCGCAACCGAAGAGGGCTTAGTCATGCTCGTCGATTGCGAGAGGCGCCTCGCATGCTCAATATTGCGCTAACGATTTGCCAACAGTAATATCATACCTGAGGATCGGTCTGAAGTCCATGCATAGAATAATTTCAGAAAGCGGTGAGTAAATTTTCATTATTCCTCGGGAATCTGATGGCGTCCAGGGTATGCTTGGGTTACGCTATCTCCAGTGGAGGTGATAAAAACGCTCCCTAAACTAAGTAGCGACGCTAAAGCAAGGATCCAGCACATGAATGCAAATCTTCCAGGGTCATCGCCTCCTTTCGTTGCCCGTGTTCTTCAGGCGCGTACAAGGCTTAGCAAGCCCCGAGTCCGGCGTGGGATACAGCAGGTGACATGATCTCTCATTGCTCTGCTCGCCTCGACTTCCATAGAGTCGATCAACTCGACTCCGAAATTCCTGCCACTAACTCGGAGGCCCGACATAGCGCTGGGGTGACGGCGTATGTTTCGTGCTATTACGCCTGTATTGGTGTCCCTCTTACTGCCTATAGACGAAAGACATACCTATGACAAATTTGCTGTCATCGACTGCTATCTTCTATACGTCTCGCTTGTCATCTGGCCAGTGGATGTGATACTAGGGGAAGATCCTGACGAGAGACGAACGGTTCATATGAAGCAATGGCACCCTGCTGTCTTGATCAGGGATAGACGCCGAACGATATCAGTGGAGCCTACTTGTACGTAACAAATATGGGCTCCGGTGGTTGCTATGCATTGATGCTCAACGACAGCGCGGGAGTGGGATCCCAGCACCCCGGGCGCGCTGTGTTGTAAATACCGACGGCGAAATTTGCGGATGGTAGTGCAGTTTCGGAACTATTTCATATCTTATGAATAGCGGTATCACATCGATGTCATTGACAGAAACATAATGCATCGGACTCAGCGGACCTCAGTTATATGATATCCGATTTGGTACAGAGCATTGGCTGGTACGTTGGTTGAAGTTGAGTAGACGAGATGCCCACGTCACAGGCGCCCCTTCGTGCTCAAGATGGACCAATAGATGGTCTCTTCTACTCAAGGGTACGTATAATTCGAACTCGCCGGCAGGGAGGTGCAGTCGACCGCAGCTCTGCTGCGAGAACAACTCATCTAAATAACACTAGTAAGCGCGAATAATTTGGCGGACCATACCAGCCACCTCTACTGCATGAAGCATGTTACAGTGCGGAGCAGCATCCGGTTTATTGATTCAATTTAACCGGGACTTACTGACTGCTGTGCTGCTGTGCAGGCACCACTTCACGCTCCGAAGTCTCGTCGATGGAAAAACTTTATGACATCTTCAGCATGATCATTTCCAGTATCGACGCTTCCAGACCTATCTTAATCGGTGTCTTGTTCTCACCGCATCTCGTTCTCACCGCAGTTTACAGCGGAAGGAGCGTGAAAGCGGTCAGATACGCCAGGTTGCAGGGCCCTAAGGCGCAAGGAGACCACACCTTCCGAACGGGACCGACTTCCGATACAAGGATTTTCGCGAGTATAAAGCGGAGGGCCTGGGTTTAATTCAAGGGCATCCATCTAAATGCGAATCCTGCAACGCACCCGCAGCTTAATTGCGCAAGAATGTGCCATCTTCTTCAGGTTTTCCTGGAGGGACTGGTCAACTACCCTTATTCCTGGATCCCTTCTATCCATCGCAGCCATGCGAAGCACCACGATGTCGCTCCAGTCTGCGATAGTTCATTACGCCTGCGCCGTCATGTGGCTCACCCTCTTCGTATATTTCGTCGACCTTTCAAACCAAATAACGGGGATTGATGAGGACCGCGTCAACAAGCCAGACCGGCCTCTACCATCTGGCCTGGTCACATTGGAGGGGGCGAGAATGCGATGGACGACAGTCCTTGCTGGGTTCTCCCTTATCGGGATATTCTATCCAGTAATATTACCGGAGACGCTTTGCTGGGTCGCTACGGTAGCCTTCCTGAATTTGACGCCGGCAGGCAACCATTGGTTCGGGAAGAACTGCATCGCAATGACAACGGGGACGTGGGCGCTTCTCAGCGGTTGCTGGAAGATCATCGCCCCCCTCAGCGCGACCCACCGCTCTTTCATCCTGACAGTAGCGGTATGGACCGGCATCCTCATGCCGATCCAGGATTTTCGAGACATGAAGGGAGATGCGAGGGTTGGGCGGAGGACAATGCAGCTTGTTTACGGGGACATCACAAGCAGAAGGATATACGCATGTGGCTTCGTTCCAGCCGCATACGCGGTACTGCGCGTTGGGCGACTGGCGGACATCGCGCCTATTCCCCTGGCGCTGGCCCATGTATACTTGGCCTACCGGACCATGAATCATGACGGCCCTCGCTACGACCACAAGACATACATGGTCAGTATACGGTATATCTTGGAATCCTCTGTACTGACCAGAGCCATTTAGCACTTCACATATCTGTTCTGCGCGGTCGTCGCGTCCATCATAGTGAAACAGCATTGACTTGCCATGGCTCGAGGTAACTGTTATAATCATCGAATAATGCCCCTCCCCCGTTTAAATCAAATATGCAGTTTTCAGCAATCGGAGAAATGAAGTTTGGGATTTTTTGCACGCAGCAGCCGCTCCGCGGCTTACTTATTGGAGTAGGGCATCACCAAATTTGCTCCGCTAATGCTGTGTCTTGATTACGAGTCCTGAGGAACGTCGAGTCTTTGGGTAGTTTTGCAAAACTCTCTGTAAATCGACGTATTGCGCTCAGTTCGCTGGCTCTTGCGTCAGATTGTTTGTGGCATCGTGTAGCACCCTTTTATGTATCCAACTGTGATTTTCTTGTATTTGAATACGTGGTGTAGAGGATGCTGGACAGATGCCGGGGTGTGCAGGGGGTTTTGCAAAAGTTTGTCACGTGTGACATCCCCGCGAGATCCATCACGTTTTTGTCACGATCCGCCTCTCGAAGTTTTGCAAAACAGCATCACTACACCGCCAAACGGTGAGAATGCTATAGCCACATTTGGAAGTCAGGTGATATAGATGGGCCACAATGATCTTGTGGCATCGTAGCACGCACCTAGCGCCAACAACTCCGAGCCACCTTCATCTTATCTATCGCGTAGCTGCTATCAATGACGCTGCATCCCCGACTCCCACGGTAGTTACGAGTCCTGAGTTTACGAAGGATGAGTCCTTACCGGAAAAATTGCGAACGTTGTACCCGTGGGTATCAGTGTTGCCGAGAATGCGTGCGACTTTGCGCCATAGTCTTGAATACAATATTCAATTTCTGCTTGTATTGGAGACTACAGAAAGACTGCAAAATCGGATTTGTAGTGTCTGTTTGCAATCACACTGTGTTTTCGTCTCAGGTTGTTCATGTATTTCCGTGGTTTCTTCTATGAAGAGGTTTATTTGGGTTATCTGTCTACTGGAATAGTTTGAGCATTTAAGCATATCTCCTTCCTTTACTGCATGCTCTTTGTCATGTGTGGCATGTTGTTACCGTGGGAATTGACTTCTGTGGCTCTTTGTAGTCGGTGGCTGAGGTGCCGCGCCGGTTGGCATCTCTGGCTTCTCATTGGCTCCTGCTTGCGGGTCGTTGGCCAATGCCCGAGGTGACTTGCCACCAGTACAAAGGTGTGGGAAATGGCTTACCAATAGAGCCGGCTGCCTGTCTATTGCACTCTTGAGGCTGGTAACAGCCGCCATACGCTCCGCAATATGCCAATGAGTCAATTTTCAAGTGCAATTTTTACCATTTTGGGTGATAAACATGACCCATCTGCAAGAACCGCAGACCCGTATACCCGGCGTCGCGGGTCATGGTATGGCGTGGTGTGGGCAGTCCACGCACCATACCCACACCCGAGCAACCCTCGGGTTGAACACCACGGTCGCACCCGCCACCCATGCCCAACCTTATCTGCAGGTATTATTGACTATCTCTTCCACTGGGGAGGAAAGACCTGTGTCACAAAGCTGCCAATCTTTGATTGGCAGCAGAGGAGCACTTTGATCTATGTTACTTGTGTCTAGTAGTGCAGCTGCTACTATCCCTTGCACTGGGTACAAATACAATTTTGTAGTCTTTTTGTAGCCACCAATACAGACCAACTTTTAATATGTCAGAGTGGCAGGTACTTTTATGGTACAATGATGGCAGAGCCACAGGAGGACAAAGTATGAATGAAGGGGACATTCCAAATGCACATCTAAGGGATTTCAATATGTGCATAAGAAAGAGGACTGTATACATCAATTGGAACATTTATACACCCAATGCTAACACTTATCAGACACAACTCAGGACTCGTGTCCTGCCATGCATAGCAATGGCCCTCTACTGACAAGTTTAGCCTGCGCCACAAAGCCCCGGACCTGGCTCGGGCTTTGGACAACCCAAGCCAGGCCCTGTCCTCGGGCTTGAGTAGGGCTTTGGCCTGGCTCGGGTCTGGCTAAATAGGGCCTGGCCTGGCCTGGCTCGGGCTTGAAGCCAGGCCGGGCACAACACTACGGGTCGGTACCAGCTTGAGTCAAGTGGGGACGGGCAACGCCTGCCAGGACGCCATATTTGCTACTGTTTTGGTCCGTGGCCCGGCAAGACGTCTCCGAGGTCATGGGACTCGCGGCTGGCCGCGGCACGCTCTCAGGATGTTCATAAGTACATCGACGCCACCAGGTCAACTTGGAATATCTCAATTTGGGATGCCGGGGCCTGCCGGTCCTAGCTTCTTATTCTCACGACCCCGGACCATTACATCAGCAAAACGGCGAACACCGCTAAGACGACCTAAGTACGAATTAAGGCATACAAAGGGTAATACGGGAATTCTTAATCCATGGGGGTCCCCTTTCAGAATTAAGCACCACTACCTTAGTACAGACCTAAGTTGGGTCAGACCTCAGCATGCAGTTTATCAAGTGCATCAAGCCATGGCCGTATAAGGCTTCAGACGGCCTAAGGGCCTAAGTTATGGAGCACCGTGAATCCAAGGTAAAACTAAGGGTACAACATAACGACAGGCTGCACGCTAACTAAGGAGCCTTCAAGGAGTCAGACTCAGTCAAGGGCCTAAGGGTACAAAGCATGCAGTCCAATGGGCAACTAAATCTTCATTAACAAGGGGTTGTATTCTAAAGCACTCTAGAGACCTGCTCAACAAACAGCGAGAAATGGAAGACAGACAGGCAGGGCGGGCATACGGGCATACGGAAAAAGCTACGGAGAGATAGCCTACGCAGCACGACAACGAGAAAGCAAACGAGACAGCAGAAAACATACAGAATGATGCGCTGAACACTTACCAGCAGTGCAGGACTAAATGTATCTTCCGAATCAAAGGCCACGGCAAAGGGGGCGTGCAACAACCCCGGCTCGGCTCTTGACAGCGGTCGATTCTGAGGTGACGACGGGCTTGCGGACTACATCTTCAATCTCACTAGCCTTCCCAATGATATATGCCCATGCTGAACTATCGAGTGTTTTGATTGACGTGCGCCATGCCTTCGTCGCCTCGCCCCACGTGGTACCGTTGAAGGAGGGCAGCTTGGCTTCCGATTTTGTGCCCGACAGATAGTCCTCTCCCCATAGATGTAGCGCATGTTCAACCTAGTTTAGAAATTAGCAGCTGTTGTACAGAGGAAAATACTAACTCACAGCCGCGGTAGCGAGTGCCAAGGCATTAAAAGGGTAACGGGACACGGATGCTGCAAGTGCCGGAATAGTAGTATGACCCACGATGAATGCATAGTGCACCTTGAGTGCATGCAAGATCGGATCTGCAGCGAACGTACCCGACCACTCCTGTAACTGGAAAGATCAAACCACGATCAACTTTCAAAGTGACGGACGTACCTCAGGATCATCCGAAGCAGAGTCAGCATACAGGAATGGCCAGACATTCTCCTCAGTCAAACGCTTAGCAGTTTCACGGCGCATGGCAGCATCACGCAGGGTGTCACTATTCTCCTCTATAAGCATGATCGCCTTGATAGCAGCATTACCGATATTGCTGCGCCATTCACAGAGCCGTTGGGAAATCTGACAGATCATTAGTTGGGCTCGATCGCAGGAATCGTTCACGTACCAGACGAGACACATTGCATTGAGATCCTAACGAAAATGTATAATGAATATCCGGGAAGACGTGAGACCACACAGCTTGAATGATCTTGATGTATTCGGGTGTGGCAGAACTCCAAGGATCAGCAGAGGACATAGCAAAGTACTTAGCAACTGTCGGAATGAATACATGCCGGAACTGATTTCTCGTCACGCCAGCCGGAAGGTTATCGTAGCTCGGCGCAGGCAAGCGACCCTTGCCACGGGGGCGGTTCCGCCGGCTTTCACGAACAACAGCCTGTTCTTCGGAACTGTCGTCACCCAGCTCGTAGTCGAGGGGATCGTGCTCGTCTTCATATTCGATCACAGTGGGCGCAACGGAACCCTGGCGAGAACGAGGTGGGCATCGTGAGACAGAGCGCTGTCGCGACCGGCTATGGGCTGGCGGCGCAGGCACGGAAGGTTGTTGGGAGCCCGATTGTGGCCCCGATGGCTTCTTGGGGACAGAATACCACTGCAGCGGGGGAGGGGAAACCTGCCGCCCCTCGGGGAGCTGATGTGGAACAGGAAAACCTGGAGTAGTCAGAGGTACAGCCGGCGGAGAGAAAACTGCTGTCTGTAGATAGACTGCATTCATTTGGGGAGCTGTTCCGCCTTGGTCCCGCCGTCTACCTTGTTCCTTCTCGCTGTGCCTTTCAGACCAATCAGAGCTGGCGCGGATGTTCGTACGGGCCGGCCCATCGTGTTCATCACTGCAGATGTTATGGCTACCTGTAGCCTTGAATAAGCTCTCATAACCGATGCCGACGGGCACTGGACCATGCAGAAAGCCATCGTAGTTGTAGTTGTAGTCGTTGTCGTAGGGTGTGGAGTAGCGAACCTCGGGAGAGTAGTCGTACTCGTCGCGAGGTCTGTAGGAAACGTCATCGCCATAGTGATGGGCCTGCGGAGTGGGTTGGCTCGCACGCTCAGTATCGAGCGCAGGAGCACGCGGCATGGTGTCATCCCATCCGTGCTCATATGGCAGAACCTCAGCATCGTGCATCTATTGCTCGTTAGGCCTTCGGCGGCGAGGTTGGTACTCCTGTTCATCTCTGTCACGGTTCGGCCCACTACGATGCTCCTTCCTCTTATCTTGGGTTCCACGAGCCGCTGAGTGATGGCCATTGGCGCCGGAGATACTCTCAAGAGGCGGGTGGGAAACATGAACGGACACCATCGACTACAGGTAGTCAGCCTCGAGAACTACACAACAGATCACCAGACTTACTGAAGAGGTAACTCGCTTCTGTCCTTTCACTGGACTCGACTTTGCTGCTTCTTCCTCATGCCCCTCATCCTCGTCCCCTGGAAACCCGCCCTCCTTGACTGGCGATGCAACCTTGCTTATCCTTTTGTTCAAGGAGTCGGCAATCGTAGATGTCTGTGGCCGAGAGAAGACTGCAGACGCCCAGCCTCGAGAGGATGATCCGCACGCCATGATAAGATCAACTTGGGGTGGTGGCGGGGATGGAGACGCTTCGCGTTCGCAAGAACCACGACGAGCGGGTTGGTGACCAGTGGCTGGAGCATGATTCGAGGATGTAGACTTTGCTCCAGCATGTGCTACCGCATTTGGTTTGGTACGTTCGTGTTTCGCATGCTCCGACTTCTGAGACATCCAATTTGCCTTGAGTCTGTGCTCGAAGAGTGAGCAAGGCCATGTGAAGACCGCTCATAGCACACGCACCTGGCTTTGACTGGAACTGAAGTCTGAGACCCAGATGTCTTCCCGCCCTGCTTTCGAGAATGACTTTCGCTAGGTCTACCGTCACGATACTCCTCCTCCTCGGAAATGGGATGCAGCTCGTTGCGGCCTTGGCCAACAGCTGCACGTCCAGTGCCTTTCTGAGACCGGTTGCTGCCTTTCCGAGTTCTCCTCTTGACAGGTAGATTTTCGGAGGCCGCATCAGAGTTAGAAGGGGGATCCATGTCCATATTATTCTCGGGCAGGTAAGATTCGCTGCTGTACCCATAGCGTTCACTGTCCTGCAGGGCATTCTCCTTATCAGTCTCGTTGTCTATACACACATTTGTGCCTTTCCGAGCCTGAGCTGGAGTGCACCTTCTTTTCGCAGGTGCTGCTTCAGAATCAGACATTTGAGGGGTAGCGGGGGGACGCTTGCGCTTCAGCTGAAGATTGTTATCGCCAGCATCCTCTGACAGGCCAATCCGGTCTGTATCTCCCATTTCTGCAGAGTGCAAGCTTCGGCCCGCGTCCCGGTCAAGCTTCTTTCTTCTGCGAGAAGGGGGATGCACATTCAACTCCTCCTGGAGGTGTTGATTGGCAGCCCCAGAGCGCTGTCTCGTCTTTGGAGCCATGATGGAATGAAGCGGGCACAAGGGCGATGGTAGGCCTGCGTGAATGAGAGTACACCGGAGACAAGACTTGAACGTTCACCACGTATAAAGTCGGAGATCCCAAAATGGTAAGGGACAGCACCGCCACTGCCCGCACCGCGTATCACTTGGCAGTCTACTGTCCTCTGCCTCTGCAGGCCTCACATTATCACAATGATGCAGCGACCACCATCCCCCATGATTGCCAGTGCTCGAAGAAATCGCAGTATTCATGCCAGAAACATTCCATGTCCATTTCCAGGCTGTAGGCAGAAGTTCCGGGCGACATCAGGCCTCACGCAGCACATCCAGCACAAGCACAAGGACCATGGCCAATCTGTGGAGATCCATAGCTCATCATCCGAGAGCACCAACCCCAGTGCTGTGCCTCAGTCTGGTAATGATGACCCTTCAGAGATCAGAGAATCAGATAGCTGGCAGGATAGCTTCCGATTTATTCCAGACCCTGAGGGATTGGAATCAGAGAATGAAGACCCACCCATGAGTAGAGACTCTCAGCAAGACTCAGGTGTGCTAGAATTTCAATGATACTCTATGTGATCATTTATGGACATTGTTCAAAGGCTCAGACTCTGGATCAGAGAGTGATGCTGAGGATTTCACTATTCAGCATGATGTCATGCCAGTCCCAGAGCTGCCAGGATCTCGCATTGCTCATGAGCATCTTAATGGTATGTCTTTAGCTGAATAATCTATGTGGGATACAGGTAGAGGTACCAATGGAGCTAAGGATCTGCATGGGTATACCCACGGGTGTCCAAGTGCATACCCATATCACACCTGCAACAAAACCCACGTCGATGGGTCAGGTATGGGTACTCATGGGTTTCAGTTTTGAAGATGCACTGAATGACACATTTTTGAGACCTGGCGGTTCACAGGTATGACCCATACCCGCAAGGACCCTCCCTGTAACCCACATGGGTTACCCGTACCTGTGCTATTCATTACCAATGGTTACAGGGACAGATTGTGTTTGACTGTACCTGTAACCAGTGCATCTCCAGAATATGCGATTTACTAATAGTACTCCATGTTCTATATTGCATTACTGATCAAAATTATGCCATAGGCCGTCCTTGTGACCAGTCTGGAGCTTTTCTGGAACCAGGGAGCCCACCAGTCACCCATAAAACAAGAGGATCAAATGACTGGACACCATTTCAGAGTGCAGTTGAATTCGAGACTGCTGATTTCTTGTTCCGCCGCAACCAGATGCCACAAGACCAGATTGATGACCTCATGAAATTATGGGGAGCCACATTACGCAAATATCACGACCTCCCTCCCTTCATCAATCATGTAGACATGTTGAAGAAAATTGACTCTTCTGTCCTTGGAGACGTTGCTTGGAAGTCTTTTGATGTCACATATCAAGGAGAGAGACCAGCTCACAATACCCCGGAGTGGATGGACTCTGACTATACTGTGTGGTATCGAGATCCTTATGAAGTAGTGACACGCCTCCTGGATAATCCAGACTTTGCAGGGGAGTTTGATTATGCCGTATATCAGGATTTCGATCAGGACCAGGGACGAAGGTACAAGGATTTTATGTCTGGTGACTGGGCATGGAAGCAGTGTGTGACTGGGCATGGAAGCAGTGTGTGAGTGATTGAGTTATATTAGTTTCTTGGCAGGCTACTAAATTCATGGGGTGCAGAACACTATCGCTCAAGACTGTGATGCTGATGGTGCTACCTTTGTCCCTATCATCCTGGGCAGTGACAAGACCACAGTATCTGTTGCCACTGGTCAAAATGAATACTATCCACTCTATATGTCAATTGGAAATATCCACAATAATGTACGCCGGGCTCATCGTGATGGTGTGGTGTTGATTGGGTTTCTTGCTATTGCCAAGAGTATAGTTTTCAAGTTATATCTGTGCCTGCACTATGACTGACCTGGATAAAGCGGATAGGCAGTATGCAAATGACAACAAGTTCCGCAAATTCCGGCGACAACTATTTCATTCATCTCTTTCCACCATTCTTCAACCACTACCCAATGGCATGACAGTGCCAGAGATAATGCGGTATCCTGATGGCCACTTCCGGTGTACCATTTTTGGGCTTGGACCTTACATTGCCGATTATCCAGAGCAAGCATTGCTGGCATGCATTGTGAATAACTGGTGCCCCAAGTACAGTGTCTCAATCTTCTGCCATCAGAGCTTCCCTGATTTATTGATTACAGGTGCACTGCTCATCCCAGTGATCTTGATACTCCAGCCTCACCACGTTCACGGGAACAGTCTGATGATATTGCAGAGAATTACGAGCTTGGTGATGCCTGGGAAATCTATGGACTTGTTGCCGACATTGTTGTAAGTCTGATCTGCCACTGCTGGCATCCACTATTCAGCATCTATTGCAGCCGTTTACCAATGACTTTCCCCGTGCGGACATTCATGAGCTTCTTGCACCTGATATCCTGCATCAAATCATCAAAGGTTCATTCAAAGACCATCTGGTGACATGGGTAGAGACATATCTAGTGAAGGCACATGGCCAGGCAAAGGCAAACACAATCCTTGCTGATATAGACCGTCGGTGAGTGATCTGATCTGATTCATTTATGCTACAATCGATAAAATGAGGTAATTTCTGCAGTATTTCAGCAGTACCCCCTTTTCCAGGTCTACGCCGGTTTCCCCAAGGCCGCGGATTTAAGCAATGGACCGGTGATGACTCTAAAGCACTCATGAAAGTAAGGGTAGGAACATCCATGCTACTATTTGACTGATTATTCTATGCTGACAGGTTTATCTCCCTGCAATTGCCGGACATGTCCCTGAGAAAATGGTCAAAGCAATCAGTGCCTTCCTGGACTTTTGCTATCTATGCAGGAGGAATGTGCATAATGAGAAGACATTGCAAGAACTTGAAGATGCACTATGTCGATTCCATGAATATCGAGTCATCTTTCAGGAACTGGGAGTTCGTGAAGGCTTTTCACTTCATCGACAGCATGCACTCTCACATTACAAGTCACTCATCTGCTTATTTGGAGCCCCAAATGGTTTATGTTCGTCAATCACGGAGTCCAAGCATATCAAAGCTGTGAAAGAGCCTTGGCGACGATCCAACCATTTTGAAGCTATCATGCAAATGATGGTGACCAACCAAAGGCTAGACAAGCTTTCAGCCATGCGAGTAAACTTCATAGCACGTGGGATGTTAGCAGATTCAGCTCCAGGTCAGTAAATCAATAATTATCCTAAGTATTACTCACATCTGTGTCAAGGCACTGATCTACATAAACATCCTCAAGCACTATTGAACCCCTCTAGAGATGCTGATGATGATGATGATGATGGTGAAGTCGATGGGCCCAGTGTCCTAGCATATGTTAATCTTGCTCGCAAGCCAGGTAAGCTGGATGTAAAAATATTTTTTCCTTGTAATCATGATTGCTCCTATTATCCCGTGGTTATCCCCGCAAACTGGGAGATCTTGGGAAGCATATTCAGTACCAGCAACTGCCAAAACTGGTGTTAAATTTCCTCAATGATGTGATGAATTTACGCACCTCAGGCAGTCCAGTAACACTGGATGACTTGGAAGGCATTCAATCTCTTTCCACCTTCCATTCAGCTGTTTCAGTCTATTATGCCCCAAGTGATCCATGCGGTGCTGGTGGTATGCACAAGGAACGTATTCGAGCTTCACCAAGTTGGAGAAAAGGCCATCCGCGGTATGATTGTGCATTTGTACAGTCTGATACAGGCCTTGAAGGTTTTGCTGGACTTCAAGCTGTCCGTATTCGTCTCTTCTTCTCCTTCAAGTTTAGGGGAGTCACATATCCTTGTGCTCTGGTGAACTGGTTTTCTCCGGTCATGGATTTCCCTGATCCGGAGACAGGAATGTGGATTGTGACACCTGTTCTGGATAACCGGAGGCGACCTATTGTATCCGTCATACATCTTAACTGTGTTGTCCGGGGGGCACATCTGATTGGAGTCACAGGAAAGAAGAACCTGCCTGTTGGTTTTCACTTCTCAGATTCTCTTGACGCCTTCCAGTCATTTTATGTGAACAAATATGCTGACCATCATGCTTTTGAGATAGCATATTGATTTAGTTAAGCAATATAGAACACTACCTTACTATACTTCATAGAGTTCCCATTCGAATCTGATGATCCTATATACAGTCAGACTGATATTTGATGACCTCAGGTCCATTCAAGTAGTACCTCACTACTGCCACATTTGGTGCCTTCCATGCAACCAGTGGGAGGGTGTTTTGAACCTGAAAGACAATCCTAGTAAAGACCATTGAAATATGGATATTAGTGTCATTAGTCTACTAGATCCCATGCAGCCGGAGAGCATGAGACACTCGCTCGGATGCAACTCGGATAAACCCGAGACGGACTTAACCTCCAACTTGCGACCGTCCGCTGTCAATCCACGCGCACGACGTACTCTGACATCTGATAAATCACGACAAGAATCAAAAATCTGTGAGTCGTATCTTGCGATTGGCGGGTGCACGGTGAGTTGCTGACGATTTTTTGCTATTTATTCTGCCCAGAATAAGCAAAGTTTTCTCTAGTTCACAATCAAAGATTCTTCCGTCAAAGTCAGCTTGGGCACGGGGACCCCCTCAAAGCACTTCGTCAGCTCCTTCACCGCGAACTCAGTCGCCCGCTCCATCGAGCGCAACCCCTCCAGCCACTGCGACCCATTCTAGACATCCTAGTGCTCTCACTGGTCAGGGTGTGTCGATCAAGGATGGTGTATCTGTACCACGGAGTAGTGCTAGTGCCGTCAAGCAAGGTAAGACTGCCGGTAGAGATATCCTTCGCAAATGAGCTCATTTGTTCAACAGGTTCATCGGTTACCTTTGGATCGATAGACAACGCGTCATCGACGCCCATCTCCTCCTCCCCCGCCAGTATACCGGCCATCAATGCCGAAACCGTAAAATCGTTTGGCACGGTTCCCGCGTCGCCGTCAACGACACAGGCGAATGGCAAGTCGCCAGTAGGGTCCGTACGGACGGCGGCGAACGGCTCGTCAGGCGCGACCCACGCGTCAAAGCCCATCAGCAAGGCCAACATATCCAAACTGTTCTAAAATCCGAGCCCGAATGCCTCGTCGCCCGCTGTATCATCACCGTCTCCAAAGTCCTCTCCCTCTGTAAGACCATCCTCGTTACCCCAGCAGACGCCGCCTCAAGGCCCGCAGCATCCGCCTTCACAGCCTTCGCAGCTAGGCACCGGCTTGTATACCCCCTTTACATCAAGCGCACAATCTAGAACACCTACGACACCTGCTAATGGACCTGGCCAACCTCCTCGCTCGCCCGTGTCTTTCAGACCGATGACGAACGGGGCAGGGGGCGCTGGCGCTTGGCCGTCGACGGGTCCCACTTCTCCTCCCGGTCCTCCTCAGGCTGTGCCAGCGGCTATGCCTAGCCCTCGTATGACGCCTCACCCGCACCCTGGGACACCTGCAGGTTTGCCGCCCGGTACACCCGTCGGCTGGCAGCCTTACTATGTAAGACTAATGTTTTCCGTAGCGTTTCAGAGAAGACAAACTGATTTGGATACCTACAGTACTCGTACATGCCCGGACTCCCTCTGGAACACTACATGCCCCCGTATTCTCCCCGTGGCCAGTAGCACATGCCGCCGCAAGGCTTTCCTCCTCAACAGCATCATCCGCAAAGCCACCTCTCTCATGCTCCTCCCGGTCCACCCGGGCTGCCCCATATTATGCCTATGTCTCCCCGTAATCCCCGCCGCCACTGCAAGGGCCCAGCGTCCGCGCACCTGCACACACTATCCCTGCCCAGCATTAAACTCCCTCAAGCAGCGCGAGCTCCATCTCCTCTCCTCCCTCAACCCCACATCCCTCAGACCTGTGCTTCCTGCCGGCAATGCATGGCTGAACACAGGTGCCAGCGCGTTCGTACCTAGACAGTCGAAGGTTGTCATCAAGGCCGCGGACAGCAAGGAGGTGGACTTGCAGGAGCTCAGGAAGCAGCAGGCGCAGGCTGGAGCGCCCATTGCACTGCGGTCGCCTGCCCCCAGTCCGCGCTGCAATATCGTCCACATGGAGACCGAGGAGACGAAGAATCAGCGGCTCACAGATGCGCGCGAGAAGGAGAGGCTGAAGAAGGAGGAGAAGTGCAAGAAGAAGGAGGAGGAGGTTGAGGAGAAGGAGAGGAAGGAACGGAAGGAACAGGAGCGGAAGAAGAGGCAGGAGGTGAAGGAGGAGGAGGAGCGGCAAGGAGGGCGATGAAGCCGCCTCAGTTCTTAGCTCTGCACGATATTACTGTACTCTTGATTATGAAAATGTGTTCTTACTAGCTGTGGCCACATTACTACCTGATCCCTCCGGCCTTCGTACATTAACACTAAATTCTTGCGTCCTGGTACAATACGGCTTATTGATTATCAGGTCCTTGATAGATTCGGAAGCCTCTATTCTTAGTAAGGAGTGCCTTAGGAACTGGGGGAACTTAAGATTACATCCACTGAGCTCATCGAATGCCTTAGTACAGGAATTTGCCCCTTAGCGCACCTGGAGGACCCGGGAATCTCCTATGTATGTATGTCCAAAAAAAGGCCTCAGAATGGCCTCAAAAGTGCTAACTTTTGGTCCTCAGAAGTGCTAAGTCGGACACACATGTCACAATGTCACACAATGTCACACTATCTGTGACAGTGCCACAGAAGGCTGATACAAGCCACAAGGAGCGATTTAGAAGCGCATATATGGGCAACAGCAGTGTTTACTGGTCATAGAATGATAGCAAACATAGTATTGAGTTATTTTGTAGTGATAAAGACAGAATACTATGGTGAAATATATCTTAGGCCCTTTTCATCTTTCCCCCCGGGACTCGGATAATCAGCCGTACTTTCGGCTTGTTGAATGTCCTCCATCGCTGTGCTGCTACGGCAGTGAGCACCATATTTTCAAAGGTACCCTTGAGTGCAGCAGACCCAAGGTTATATAGCATATGATCCGCAAAGGCATGGGTATGGAGTGATGCCCCTCCGGACATCTACAAGTCCTTACCTAGCCAATGAGCCCCGCGAGAGGCCGTCTGAAGTTACCCGAGAAGGGCATATTTGGCACGGACAAACAGCGCGCGCAGAAACGTGATGTTCAGTTTCTTATGCAAACGACTGTAGGCAATTCAGCCACCTGGAGTTGGTGGCTCCATTGGGCCTCAAAAGTACTAAGTTCCGGCATACATTCCGGCGTAGGCGGTCACTGGGGAGCCTCAAAAGTGCTAAGTCCGACAATGAAATGGCCAATTTTGGGGCCTCAAAAGTGCAAAAATCGGACATACATACATAGGAGATTCCCGGGTCCTGCACCTGGCGCAGCGTCTCCTGACGTCTTACCTCAACTGACTCGCTGAGATACATCCAACTTAGTAGACTGGGTACGG